AACTTTAATAACTTTAATAACTTTAATAACTTTAATAAATTTAATAACTTTAATAACTTTACTAACTTAATTAAAAGGACTTACTCATGCTATTTAGCGCTAGCTTACGCATAGAACTATTATGTATATCTTCGTTAAAACTATTTATGCTATTACTTCGAGCAGGCTTACGCGTATGCCGTAATAAAGAAAGCGAAAGCGAGCTAAGTTGAATTGCAAGATCGCGTAAGAAGGATAGTTTATTTAAAGTACGCCGTAATAAATAAAAAAAACTACGAAAGTATTTGCGAAAGGTACGTTGCGTAAAGTGAAAGTGACTAAGCTTTAGTAGTGAATATCGTAGAAAGCGTGGTTTTCTAAGAGAAGCTCGTAAAAGAAAAGCTGCTTAAAGCGCGCCGAAGTCGGTCGCGAGGCTTTTTTATTAGTAGATCGTAATCGTTATTAGACGGACGTCGGAAGTAAAAGATGTTTTGCTTTGTATGCAGATTTAAAAGCTTTGTTTTTAGCTTTATAATCATTGTAAAAAGCGAATATTTTACTTTGACTATAGTTTTGAAATGATGTAACAAGCTAAAGGGTGTTCTTAAGTATACATCGCGTTTAAGTATAGATACGAAAGTCTATATTATAAATTAGTAGAAGTTGTAACAATACTTAAGCAGATGATAAAAGACGAAAAAGTTAAGTACGTACTTAATACGTGCAGATACTATAAGGTACTGCGCGTGTTGCTAAGCTACTTATCCCGATTAGGTTTAGCTATTGTATATAAATTAAACGGGCCGATCTGTTCCGAAAAAAGTTTAATAGATTAATATAAAATAAAAGTCTTAGCACGCTTATAAATCTTGCTAGATCCGTATAAAATAATCTCACGTGACTAGATAACTAACTACTACTACAACTACTAGATTACTTATCACTATTACAATTACTAGATAACTAATCACTATCACAACTACTAGATGACTAATTACTATCACAACTATTAGATTACTCATTATTACTACAACTACTATAATTTATCTTAAGTCACCGTTGGTAACAATAATAAATAAAAAAGTTGCTAAGATAATTAAACTGCTTATCATAACGAATGGAGCTTTAATTTATATTATTATATTCGAAGATTTTTATAACTAATTTAAACAAAGAAAAAAAAGGAAAAAAAAGGAAAAAAAGAAGGGAAAAAAAGGAAAGTTTTTTTTCTTTTTAATTAAGATTAAAACTAATGCTAAAAAGATTCTAGCTTATTTTTTTGAAAACATTATATTAAATTATTAACGTTTTTCGCCGTTTTTTACGCTGACGCTTGAAGCGGGACAGACTTTTTTCGCGGCGGGATATACTTTTTTCGCCCACTTTAAGGAAGGGCCCCAAAAGTTGCGACGTCAAAGCCCATTATTAATAATAAATATCGCCCGTCATTTTTATTCAAAAAAAACCCCCCTCCTTTCGAAAAAGACAAAAAACTCAAGGCCTACTAACCGCTCTCCCATCTCAACACGAATACAAAACCAAATAGCCGTCCGTCCGCCGCTCGTTCTCAAAGTCGAAGTCAAAAAAAAAAAAAAAAAAAAAGGAGGGCGGAGCGGCGCGTCGACTTCAATCCTCTCGATTCTCGATAGACTACCGGTAGCACCTACCTATCTACCCGGCGGCAATGCCAGGCCCGCCCCTTAGCGGAACGCCTAATTCCAAACTGGCGCGTAAGCTATCTACCGTACTACTAAGTAATAGAAAGAGCGCTACGCTAGAATACCGGGTAGCCGTCCGCCGGCCCTTTTGGCGTTTCATCCTCGTTCCTGCTAGTCTCAAAGGAAACTGAAAGAAGAAGAAATACAGTATCATAAGTGTACGGCAATCTTCAGCCTTACATAATTAATTCATTGCGAATATGGATTATGTAGAAAATAGGTTTAAATCTCTTAAGAGCTGCGATTGATTTACGGTTAGCGGCCGTTAAGAACCAGCGTCGCGGATATCCAAGTGCATGTATATTTAAGCTGGCTTGTAATATCATCCTTAATATTCGATCGTTAGATGTTTAACGTAAATGAAGAAGCAATTAAAAAGGCAAAGGAAAGGATACTTTCAGCATATACGCTGAATATATTTCAAAAAGGAGATGAATGAAAAAATGTTGCTGCTTCACTTTCAAAAGAGTTGAGTCGATTATACTGCGTATTCGTCATCCAAGAGATACAAACATCTTGGCAAATTGGAAAAGGGACGGCCAAGGCGGATAGTTATCAGTTTCTCGTGAGATTGATTCCGTAGTAATCATCTTATCCATTGCCATGGACTGTAATGTACAACCGAACGCGAAAAAGCAGCCGTGACCCAGACCCAAGCGATACCCCATTATCATGAAAAACCAACCCCAGAGAAATACCAACCCAGAGCAACCAAGACCTACAACTCTTGGCTGGCAGTCTTTCCTCCCTTGACCGTCTTCTTGGGCAACAGGTCTGAGCAAACAATTAGCGCGTGAATCGTTAACCTGCGGATGAGCCGAAACTTACTCTGGTGGATGTTGGGCAGGACACCACCTTGTGCGATCGTAACGTGTCCCAGAAGCTTGTTCAACTCCTCATCGTTGCGGATGGCGAGCTGGAGATGACGGGGGATGATACGGGTCTTCTTGTTATCACGGGCGGCGTTACCAGCCAGTTCGAGGATTTCAGCCGCGAGGTATTCGAGAACGGCGGCGAGGTAGACGGGGGCACCTAGCCGAAGACGCGTCAGCAAGCGGAAGGGCTCAGGCTCAGCACAGAAGAGACGTACCAGCACCAACACGTTGAGCGTAGTTGCCCTTGCGGAGAAGACGGTGGACACGACCAACGGGGAATGCGAGACCGGCCTTGGAAGATCGGCTGTAGCCTGGTTAGCAATGCGATCCGAAAGAAGCTGCAGATGGGAATCCGGAGATGGCCGACGTGCGAGGAGGGTTGTAGGCAGTGAAAGACGCGTCAAACGCGACCGAGGAGCCAGGTCGCGAGCTGGAGCGGAAGAGTAACTCACGATTGCGCGTTCTTGGAGCCGCTGGCCTTTCCTCCGGACTTGCCTCCAGTCATTTTGAAAGAGTTTGTTGGGGGGGGGTTTGGGTTTTGGATTGGTTTGGGTGGATTGTAGATGTGGGATGGACGTGGAGATTGGTATGGATGGTGGGAGAGGAGTGATTGATGATGGTGATGGGGTTGATGGTGGATTGAGAGATGAGAAAGGGACGAAGGAAGAGGAAGAGATGGCGACGGGCGATGGAGAAGTTAAGTACTACGGCGCGCTAAGATTCCGTGATTTGGGAGCAAAGCTGGGAGAAGTGCAGACTCGACCTCTGATTGGCCGCATTCCGTCGCGTCGCAGCAGCCTAAACCGCACTCGGCCGCGCCCCGTCGAGCTCGGGCCACTTGATCTCTTGATTGCCGCAGCACTAGCGGGTTAGCTCCAAAAACTACATAACCGCGCCTTCGTCCTCGGTTGGAAACGAATTCCCTTCTTCCTTCTCTCCCCATCTACATTCCAACATCCACATCTCCATCGTCCACGCCCACGTCCATCCCACGTCCACGACCACATCTCCGACTTCATCCATAATCTCCCATCTTCACCACCACCACCTCAACTCCAACTCAAACCCCTCTCTCCATTCCCCCTCCCAAAATCCAAAATGCCCCCCAAGGCCGCAGAGAAGAAGCCCGCCTCCAAGGCCCCCGCCTCCAAGGCTCCAGCTGAGAAGAAAGAGGCTGGCAAGAAGACCGCAGCAACCGGCGAGAAGAAGAAGCGTACCAAAACGCGCAAGGAGACCTACTCTTCCTACATCTACAAGGGTATGTCGTGTTCCCGCTTCCAGAGTCGCGTTCTCGACGCGTGTTTTGCGCGTCGATCACTTCAGGGTGATGATGAAGCGGAGTGCCAACTCCCTCCATCAAGAACGAGACGTGCTGTCCATTCCAAGTATCTGCTGACATCAGGCATTCAGTCCTCAAGCAAGTCCACCCCGATACTGGTATCTCCAACCGCGCTATGTCCATCCTCAACTCCTTTGTTAATGGTAAGCTCGATTTGACTCCGCTCTGCATGGATACCGGGCCCTAACAATACCGCCAGACATCTTCGAGCGGGTTGCGACCGAGGCTTCCAAGCTTGCCGCATACAACAAGAAGTCGACCATCTCTTCCCGCGAGATCCAAACATCGTAAGTACATTGCCTTGACTCTACACACCTTAATCTGACCCATCTCTAGCGTCCGCCTGATCCTCCCCGGTGAACTCGCCAAGCACGCCGTCTCTGAAGGCACCAAGGCTGTCACAAAGTACTCTTCATCCACGAAGCAATAAGGGTCTGGTTTTGGGGTTTCACAGGATTTCGGATTTCGGATCACCTTGGGCTTGAGATCATCTGGGTGGATGAAGTCTGGGCTTTTCGGCATCTCCGGGTTCATCTTTCTAATGCGTTATGGATGGTCTGCTTTTTTATGGGGCACAACAAGCCTTCACGGTCTGCTTTTCGGGGTCAGTGGCTGTACAATAAGTCTTCGGGGTATGGTTTTTGCGAAGACGGCAATTGAATCATGAACATCAAAAACATTCCGTATCACCCATCATCTTTTACCTACGTGAGCTAACAGATACTTCCCTGCAATTTTGTTACCGACGTAAGCTAATAGATGTTTTTCTTATCATACAGCCCGACGGCGAGACTCGCCCCTGATTCTTTATATAAGCTTGCTTTGCTGCCCACCTGACACGTTGCACAAACTCTCGGGATTGTTTTTATGTTTTTAAACTTCAAGTCACGGACGTCTATTAAGACTGCACTTTGTAGACAAATTTCAGGTTTGGCAAGTTTGGCAATTGTCTATCGTTTCTTTACGTTCTTTCCTATATATCACGTGACCCGTTGGTGTTCTGCATGCTTCTCAAGACGGTCTCGGAATCTATTATCATTTCTACAAATCGATTGGAACCCAGGGAATTGTCGCTTACACGGAGGACTCGGTGCAACGGCCACGCCCAGCAGTCCCCTCCCACGTTCGGTATCCATCACAGAAGAAGAACAGCTCCACAGCTTGGGACACCGGATCAGCCCAAACCAGCCTTGCCCGTCTTGACAACATGGGAGACCGGCTGCAAGATACCCTTGTTGTTTTCGGAACCAAGAGCCGTGCCCTTGGTCCAGCCCATCTTCTCGAGCATCGCACGACCTCTGTTCTCAGCACCGAGCTCGGGAGCAGATCCACCCACGATGTCGCCATTGCGGTACTGGACAGCAGCATTGTTGTGGAAGCCGCCTCCGCTACGCTTTCCGAAGCCACCACCTTCACCACCTGCCCTCTTGCCGCTGACATCCATGCGCGGAAGATAACGGCGCGATAGTTTAGCATACATGGCGTCAATCGCGCCACTGTCGGTATTGAAGTTCCGAGTTCTAGTCGTCTTGTACAGAATTGGGAAGCGTTTGTTGCCGCCGCCAGCCGATTTGGACTTGAGACTGAAGAAGTTTGCGAGCTCGTGGACGATCTTGCGGTCTGCCTTGTCCATAGGAGGCAATGCGATTCTGGAAATGTTAGCAAAGAACCCTCATCGAGCAGAGGAGAACGTACGTCGTGTCGACTCCCCGCAGGAAACCCTTGATTTGCTCCTTGACATCTTCGATGCTCATCCCTTCTTTGTACTTTTGCTTCAGGTCCACCTTGCCGTCCTTGCTTCCCAGAAGACCCTGAGCCCGCAGCTGCTCCCGCTCTTGCTTTTTCTCTTTTTTCTTGAGCCGATCATTCGACCATGCTTTCTGCATCCCAGCCTCGAACTCAGAGTCCGAATTTTCCATGACGAGCTTACCCTTGCGAGCTTTGGATCTCTTCTGTAGGCTGGGTCGATCGTAATCCATGACATCAAAGCCATCGTATGCATCAGCCAGCAGCGTCGCAGAAGGGAATTCACCTCGAGCTCGCGATGGTCCACGCAGAGGTTTCATCTGCCGAGCCGCAATAGCAGCACGGTAGGCCGACTTTGCAAAGGAAGTATCATTGACTTCGGATGCATCTTCCTCATAAGCATCCAGCAGCAGAATTTCGTCAGAGCCCATGCCAAGTTCCTCCTGCTTGGACAGCAATCGCGCAATCTTCTCGTCGCTCATCTGGTCAATCTTCATCTGGATCAAGTCTTGGTCGTCATCGTCATCACGGTCGATAGCAGGATCCATCTCATCCGAATCACTGGTGTCCTCTTCCTCACTGCCCTCAAACTGTGCCACGAGTTTCTCCTTTACTTCGAATTTCTCCACGTGCATCATCGCGGTAACACTCGTTAACGTCGTCATAGGAACCCATCTTGCATCATCTGTTGACTGATGCTCCCAAACAACTAGATATTGCGTTCCGGAAACACGTTCTCTCTTAGACAGTATGTCCTGTACCTCGCCCATGACCCCATCGGACGTACTCAGGTCATCCAGATCCTCAATATCTGACCGGTTCCAACCACCCTGAGATGGCTTGCTTGACTCTCCAATAACTTCTCCAGAAGAGGCTTCGGTGTCTTGCCAGACCTCCCCGTCCTCGCCGCCCAAAGCACGCTGGCTGAAAGATGGAAATACAACATCCTCCCCATCCATGTTCGCAATGTAATCAGCCATGATCTCGTCTTCCTCTGATTTCTTAAACGCATTTTTGTTGCGGTGACCCCGGTGTGTCTTCTTTACAGGATTTGGGGGTAAAATAGCTTCAAAATCGGCCCTTGGACTCTCGACTGATGGATGAAGTACGGAAGAGTATGGTGTTTGGTCGTGTTGCAGTTCTTCTTTAAGAAACTCTATCCGGTCCTCAACCACTTTAATCTTGGCGTCGAAGGAATCCGTAGGCGGCACGGAAGCTTGGGGAAGTTTTGAAGGCAGAGGAGCCCGAGATAGTGCTCTTCCTTGCTGATCCCTGCCACAGAAGAGAATAACCTCCTCGCTGGAGTCAGACGGCGTGGGTGACGCAGACCGTACTCTTGGAAAAGCCATGCCGGTATGTACGGGGCCACTGCCAGCGGTATCGATAACGAAAATTGAAGTTTCCGCCTCATTTGGTGTCTTGATAGAAGAAGATTCGGCTGCTTCTTCTTCTTCTTCTTCTTCTTCTTCTTCTTCTTCTACAATGATTTCAAACTGCTCGACTTTGGCCTCCACCTCCTCTTCATCGACTTCATCCTCCTCCTCGACTTCGTCCTCCTCTTCCTCCTCCTGTTGAGCTTCGGCTGCCTCCTCTTCTTCACTGTGGACCTGAATGGAAGCGAGATTCAAGTGTGCCAGGGCAGCTTCGTTGACATCTAGCTTCGTCGGCTCAAACTTGCCCGCACTGACAAAGCTGATCTGGTTGTCTCTCAATCGTTGATCTGTATTCCAGAAGGCGGCACCATTGCGGTCGGTATTGCGAGCTTCTTCCTGTAAGGTGAAGGCTGTATGTAGGTTATCAGTAGAAGGTCAGGTCATACCAGGCTGTGATGGGGGGGGCACTTCCTTACCATTAGCTGTGCCCTCGAACGGCACAAAGGAGGTGTTACCGTTGCCGTTACCATAGCCATTACCGCTTCTTCGACCTCCACCTCCGCGAGAAGCAGCTTGGAAGTTGCCGTTGCCCCTCTTCGACCTGGAGAAGCTGTTCTTGGGTTTCGGCATGTTTGCTTGACACCGGGGCTGATGTGGTTGTGCGGCCTAGAATGCCATAAGATACTTGCTCTGCGTGCGAGTGGCGGAGAGATGTGGCGAGCCAGAGAAATGGAAATGGGAATGGGAATGGGAATGGAAAGGAAGTGGGATCGTGTGGAAGCAATGATGACGGCGTTTGTGGTTTATTTGCCGGCTTCTTATCGATAAGAAGTGGTGGGTGGATGCAGTACGGTAGGTATATTGAAGGATTGTCCAGTATCCACGTCATTTATTCTGGTATTAAATATAAATTTAAACGAACAGGAATGAGTACAATCAAAATGCAGATGACAGTAAATAAATATATATGGATATGCATGGAGATGTACAAATATAAGTAAACTATTGAATAATTCGAAATAAACATAATCAAATATAAAAATGTGATGAAAAATATTTAAATATAAATATGAACAGCTCTCAGCAGCATATAGAATATATAAACACAACATGTAAATGAGTACAATTAAATATGAGTAAATAATAAATTTATTCCGATAACTAATGAGTGATAGTCTAGCAGTCTGATAGTCTGTCCCCGTCCCGTGACCGGATCATCATGCATCTTTCTTACCTGGGGTAGCTAGCTAGCTGACTACCCGACTATCATCTCTGTAGGAACCTCCCCATCTATTTCGACCTTTCAACCCGTCTATTGAGTTCCCTACCCACCTAAACCTACTCAGATACCCTTTCTATTCATCTGATGTCCCCTCCCTTGTCACCTCGTTGAGCTACTTACTGCTCCAACATCTGCGACCACCCCACGGCGAGGCTGCCCCACGTCCCCCGCCATTCTCATCTTCCTCAACCCCTAACAACAACAACAACAACAACAACAATAACTATCACAACAACATCAACAACAACCCTCTCCTCGATCGATGCCTCCAGCTGGCTTTTTCCAATATCCTACGGATTAAATCAACATGGCCGCTATGGACTTCAGCAAATACAAGCGGATTGTGCAGCAGTACTTCTGGGACCCCGAGCCGACGATTGATGCTGCCTCACGGTCGCCGGTATGGTGTCTTGGGAAGGAATACAAAGTCACCCCCCCGAAACCTCAGGTCGAAGGCGCAACTGCCTGCACTCCCTCCTCACTCCCGGATCTGAAGTCTGCTTCTGCAGAGTCGAGTCGTTCAGCGCAGCCTGCCACACCGCCAGACAGTACGGCAAGTAGCCTTGGCTCCGGAGTTCACGAGGACGAAGACGTCGGAGGGTGGCCGACGCCCTTCCTAGACGATTTCGAATCCAAGATATGGCTCACCTACCGCTCCCAGTTTCCCGCGATTCCAAAATCTCAAGATCCCAAGGCCTTGTCTTCTATGTCGTTGTCGGTGCGCTTGAGGAGCCAACTGGTAGACCAAGCAGGGTTCACGTCTGATACCGGATGGGGTTGCATGATCAGATCGGGGCAGAGTCTCCTTGCGAATGCGCTTGTCATGCTGCGTATGGGCAGAGGTCAGTGATTTTCTCTACATGCTGGTAGGATTAGTACTGATAGTACGGTTCAGACTGGCGTCGAGGCTCCTCGGCGAGTCAAGAAGAACGGAGCATCATATCTTTGTTCGCAGACACCCCCACGGCCCCATATTCTATCCATAACTTCGTTGAGCATGGAGCTGCTGCTTGCGGGAAGCACCCTGGAGAGTGGTTTGGACCTTCGGCCACAGCTCGTTGCATTCAGTGAGAACCTACGGCGTACTGCTCAGGCGTGTAATTAACTCCCGATAGGGCTTTGGCGAATGGTCACCAGTCACCCGAGCTGCGAGTCTACGTCACTGGTGATGGGCTGGAGGTCTATGAAGACTCGTTCATGAAGATCGCCAAACCCGATGGTCAAGCCTTCATACCCACTTTGATATTAGTCGGTACGAGGCTAGGTTTGGACAAAATCACCCCCGTGTATTGGGAAGCGCTCAAGTCATCCCTACAAATTCCGCAGTCTCTTGGAATCGCTGGGTAGGTGGTTCTCCTACAGTGACGGCGCAACAACACTAACATCACTAGCGGTCAACCTTCCTCCTCACACTACTTCATAGGCGTACAAGGACATCATTTCTTCTACTTGGATCCTCACCAAACTCGCCCAGCGCTCCCATTGCCAGATAACATTGAGGATTATTCTCAAGAAGACATCGACTCATGTCACACGAGGAGGTTACGTCGGATCCATATTAAAGAAATGGATCCCAGTATGCTGATAGCCTTCCTGATACGCGATGAGGATGACTGGAGGCGGTGGCGACAATCTGTCCAAGAAGTCCAGGGTAAGGCTGTCATCCACGTGGTAGACAAGGAGCCATCTCTTCAGGGACCTGGCACTGAGCGAGAGGGGGCCATTGATGAGGTCGAGACTTTTGACGACGAAGATGACGAGGATTCCATATTGAATGCTTAGCTCAGTGGGGACTGGAATGGTGCAGAGGCGTTTGAAATTGGCAAACGGGTATTGGGACAGGCGATATGTGGGCGTGAACCCTAGGCAGGTATGGAAGCGAGGCATATAATTTGGTGTTGTTCTTGAAATGGATGGTTTTCAAGGTATTGTCATGACCGGTTGACTGCGGAAGTTACCTTCAGCGATATTATGGGCAAGTTATATACGGCAGGTTGGTGTTGTTCCGTTGGCCGGGTTTATTGATCCTTTATTAATCGTTGTTTTTGCTAGATCTGTGCCTTTATGTTTTCAGTTTTCTACATTTCTAGTCTTCGTCTTCTTCATTTCCGCAACCAGCCCACAGCTACTGCTGTGTTGTATAACCGGACGTTTTTTACCAAGTGTAAGATATATACGTAACAAGTACTGCATAACCAAGGGCATACATACTTCGAAGTCTCGAATCTGTTTCCGATTGTATTGACTCCCCTCGAACCTTTGCCGGATCTTTCTGTGCAAGCGACAATCTGTGATGTAAGGACAGTAAACCCTCGGTCTGTTTGGTCTCTCTCGGGTCAGTCAATCTGCTTCTTGCAGGCAACTATCCCTCCTTTCTACTCCAAGCAGCCGAAAGATTTCCACACCCGCTACCGTCGCGTGCCTGCCTGTGGAGGAGGAGGACCTGAATAACTACCTACCTACCTATATTCCAACCTCTCCATCACCGTACATCTATAACAAGTTACTAATAAATAAATAAAAAATAGAAACTACCAGACGCGGAATCCTGGAACTTCTTTACCTATCCAGTCGCTAGGTATACATACATGCGTAATAAGCGACGAAAAAAAAAACCCCTCTCCCTGGTCTATTAACTCATCTCAGCTTTAATATAAATAAATGATATTATTATAATTCGTAGCGACATGGTATGATATGATAATGATATGATATAGCAGTACCCTTTGAATACTGATATATACTTTTTAAAACCTCAAGTGTGTATATACGTATGTATGAAAAAAAAAAATAACCATTATCCCCTTTCTACTTTCTTGCTTCTGCTTGCTTCTGCTTCCACAACACGCGCGCGCGCGCGCTTTCTGTAGTCTGTGTGAGCTGGAGTGTTATTAAATATATATATATATATATATCACCCTCTCCGGCAAAAAAAGAAGACCAGAATCAGGTACGCGCGGGTGGACGGCAAAGGGAATGAAGGGGATGATGTCTGTCTGTCAAGTTTTCAAAGAGGTCGTTCGCTGTCGTGGGTCGAAGGTTGTGCGTGGGTCGTGTCTGTCTACATACATACCTATACTGACTGGCTGGCTGGCTGGCTGGCTGGCTAGCTGGCTGGCTCGTGTGTATTATGTATATGTATATATATGTATGTATCCATGGATCCGTTCGGTCTCCTTGGAGAAAGGAAAAGGACATGTACAGGGAGGGGTATAGCGGTCGGTATAAACAGAGTCGACCGAGAGCGTCAAGCTCGGAGCTGTGCTTGATACCTGCCTATCTCTGTATGGCATGGGAATAATAGCGACGATAACAACACCGCAGAGGTGTAGATAGAGTCTGGCAATGTCCGATCCAAGTCTCGTTGACAAGATTGTTCGGTGCGTTCGACCCCGTTCTTGTATCGTTGGGTTTTGCCGGTAGGGAGGGGGACTTGGATTGCGGTATAACCAACACCAACCTCGTTCGTTCATGGAGGTCTTATATACTCATAATGAGAGTGAGTGAGTGAGTGAGTGAGTGAGTGGAATACCGGTAGTAATCAAGATGGATAGCCCGATGAGGTATACCAATAAGTGCTTCAGCTTATGCAAACGCTACAGACCGGCATCGGCTAGAGACGTCTTAGAGACTCATGCTTGGCCGGGCTTTTCGAGACCCCGATTGTTCAGACACGGGAGTGGAGATATACTTGCGAGGTGGTGAGGTTATCCTCGGGACTTATGGAGGAGCGGAAGACAGAACTGAGGAGAACAGTCTAGAAAACAGAACTATACAAACCTCACAAGAACTGTAGGGGTAGGCTTTGGTCAAGAACGCTTATACATTCGCTTGTGGATATCAGTAAACACTACTTTGAGGGTATCATCGCAATCTCAGGCCATCAGCGCTAGTCCAACTACTATTGTACGATGCAGGACTGCTCAGTAGGGTGTTTGTAGTTGATTCCGAACTCTTCCCTCCCTCTGGCAGTCTGGTTCTGGATCTGCTTGCTCCGGACCTCTTTTTTGAAGAACCTTTCGAGGTAGCATTCCATCTTCAGATCGAGATTGTCTACTGGACGGTTAGAAGCCACGAGTATCTGGGTGCACATTGATTAGACTCACCGATCGTCGCGCTCAGAAGAGTATCGCTGCGGCAGATAGGGCAAAGTGCCCGCGAGTATTCCACTCTTTGCAAGACGATCGTACAACGGATACAAAGCTATACATGAGATGGTCAGCCATGTTACTGAAAAGGTTATGGGGCTGTACACTGGACATACGATATGCCTACAATCCAGCCGAACCGCACGGTAGTGGATATCGCTACAGACGGGACAGGTGTAATCATCAACCTGCGGAACGATGCCAATGAGATCTTGGGTAACTTGTTGACAGACTGCCGTTGCAATAGTACCAGACATGATGGTATGAGCCAGGAAGAGGTTCGGAAACATTTTTGCGGCACCCAGGCTGGTTTTTTTATCGAATTCTGGGCAGTCGTCAGAGGATTCGTCTCCCGAAAACACCCATCTTCCAGGGGGCTTACTCTTCAAAATTTTCCTGATGGCATTCTGGTTGTATTCTTGGAAGTTGAGGTTTAAGAGGAGATTCATATTGATCTTGACGAATCGTGCAAGCGACAGACGACTTTCCCCCACTGCATGGCACGGAAAAGTCAGCAAATACCTGTTCAAAATTTTCGGGGCAGGAGACAAGACATGCTCCCATTTGTATAAGGAGAATCAAATATAGGAAATAAGAGAGCTCCCTTCCTCCACTACCTACGTTTGAATTTAGCCTCAATTCCTCTTTTCCCTAATTCCGTTTGAAACCTGGGTACCAAGTTAGCTTTTGATTGTCCCTCGGATGGAGGCACGAGAACATACCATTGCAACTGTTCTTTAGCCTTGGCGTAATCTCGAACACCAGAGTCCGTCTCGTTCGTGGAGAAGAAAATGTTTGCTCGCAAATATAGCTCGAAGAGTTCTCGCCATCTGTACAGATCGCTATGCTGGAACAATGGGAATCTCGTGGGCCTAGCTAGGTCAGATAGACAATCGAGACATCCCAAATGTACCGGAATCCGCCAGGGCGTTCAAGCAGCACTTACATTGCCACCCGTGTAAGAGATCTTGACAAAGCCTGGATGTCATCGAGAAGGATTGTCTGCTCTTTGGCCTGGAGCTTGTCGAGAGAGACTATATCGTTCTGGAGTAGCTCGAAAAACTTGGAATCGAAATTTAAAGGAATCTCTACACGCTGGGTGTTTTCCAGTACTTCGGCTGCTCTGTAGGAAGTCAGTGATTTTTTTCATTATGACTCCGATATGCCCAGCAGGACCGGGTGACATCGAGATCAGGGGTCCATGGTCTTGCAGCCGGACACCGAGGAACTCGAATAATGTAATTCTTTGATAAAATATACTTGCTCTTCAGAAGAAGGGGTACTGGGGGGAGGAGTCTCGGCTTGCCCATCTAATGAGTTGCCCAGGCGCTCCTGTGCTGCCACTCTCAGATAGTTCCTGGTAGCCGGTGTCAAGAGTGCGTTGACAGCTTCCCCATCGGTGAAATCCACGAAAAAGGTCAACTTCGGCACCAAAGTTTCCTGGTCCTTGAAGTTGTATTGGAAGGCAACGCCGCTGCGATGGCGACCCTCCTCGTCGAGGTTTGGCTGGCGTAGCTGTGTCAAGGTGGCGGCATCAAGACCCAGCGCTTCGAGTTCTGCTTGGATCTGATCACGAAGGCGACGTAGTTAGTACGGAAAGATATACAGACAGGGCTTTCTATATGTGACCGACCCAAACCATGCGGGCACCATTGGAGTGGTATACATCTATATACATACCTGCTTCAGAACTTTTTTCAACCCTTTGTAAGGAATTGCACTATTGACCCCTGGATAACGAGGAAGTCAGTTAGCAAATTGAGAAAGGCGCCCTCGTTCTCGTTCTCGTTCTCGTTCTCGTCCTCGATCGACACTCACAGGTTTGAGGCCATCCCTCGTTCGCCATGGCATCGGCGAATTTGTGGCCGAACTTCATTCTTTCTGGTGGTGGGTCGGCTGACGGCCGGCGGCTGGCTACACTCCACGCTATCTATTATTATGATGGATGAATGGATGATAGATCAAACCTGCCGTAATCAGCAATCAGAATTTGCATTTGCATCAGATTTGGCTTCGACTCACTCAGTGTGTTGAATAATGCTTATCTATCGATGAAATGCGCAGTCATCCCAAAGTAAACAAATCGCTAGTTGTAAGCGGGTGCTGGTGAGATGACGGACGGACTTTCGCTGTTGTTGCTGGAACGAGACGAAGTGAAGAGTTTGTTGGGCTGGCCTGGCTTCGCTCGGGCTGGGCCGGTTGACGGTCATGTGGTTGAAAGGGAAGGCACGGCACATGGTGTACCGTGTGTGTAGATAGGTCTATGTTATATATGTGTTATATATATAAACATTATATAAACATATATGGAATCAAGATCCAAACTTCAAAGAATGCAAGATGTCCAGGATAGAGGGTGGGTATGGGTCTCTCCACTGGTTTCTCTGCTTACATGTATGTAGGTTGTAGGTATGAGATGTGTATGTGTATTGATTGCTTTGCTTGTCACTTGTTTACATTTCCACTTGTTTACCGAGACCGACGCCGCGTGCCGAGACCTGAGTCATGATGTAGTTCAAAATGGATACGACTTACTTACTGTGCGGTACTATCTGCTGACGGAAATGAAAGTTTATCCCCGTACTTGTATGTTTTGAAGTTGAAATGAATTGATCGCCCGCTTGTCTAAACCTTATCGCCCTGGGCGTGCTGACGTCATCGCCCCGCGTCGATAAAGATAACCCGGCTGTCCGACGTCCGAGGTCCGATATCCGACGTCCGACGTCCGTCTCCACCTTTTGATCAGCACCTCTACCTCCACCTCCACCTCCACCTCCACCTCTCCGTACGGGAATTGCAGCTCAGCTCTCGTTTGATTATAAATCTCGATGTTCCGTAGGTAAATCAACCAAAAGTAACTAAGAACACAATATATGATACGAAAATATATTACCGACCCAATCCACCCCACCCCCTCTCTACCCACCTCGACCAACCTCGTGTTGACGTCGTCGCCAACTTTACTTCGACTACTACCATCTTCCCGCTCCATCCATACTCCCCCCGCACACAACACAACCTGAAGATGACAACAGCAGCTTCGAGCAACCAACGTCCGAGAGGGCCTTTGACCTTGATGCGCCTCCCGGACGAGATCCTCCAGCACATCCTCACGTTTTGCCCCCCGTCCGACCTTCTTCTGAACATCCAAAGTGTGACCAAAAGGTTTCACAGATTGGCTGCCGAGCCTCTGCTCTGGAGACACCATTGCCGAGCAGAGTTCAAGTACTGGGAGCCCAAACACCAAATCCAGCAGAAATTCCAAGCGAACGTGGGAGATGTGGACTGGAAACGTCTCTACGCCCACCGGAGAAAGGTTGATATCACGACAACCGCCCTTCTCGACCGTATCCTCGACCGCCAGACGGACAGAATATCCAACTTCCAGTGCATCTCGGAATACGGATACGATGCAAAAGATGTTCTGTTACGGCACTGTCGGACTGATGAATCGGCTGAAGATGTTCTCGCCAGACGGTATGACTGCGAGCCATCACACTACACCCAACCCAACCCAACCCAACCTGTCGGCTCACTGACGGCGTCCAGATACTATGCTACTTCGGTTCTCGATCATCTACATCGAGCAAAAGCTTTGGCTGAGTGGAACCGAATCGCTAATGGCGAAGATGTTCCCCTTGAACGAGCCTTGGGAAGCTTCGATTTATTCGTTTTGCACGACCACCAAGGTGACTTATTGGAGGTACGAGTCGACCAGTTGAAAGACGTGATCCGAACTTGACTGATCCTCCGTGTCAGATAGCAGAGATCTTGGACCGTCTTGCGTCTCAGTTCCGCTCCGAGTGCCCTGGAGCAGACGAGCTTTCGGTGAGAGACAAAGCCATTGCAGCTGTGAGATTTCTACGAACTCACAACCTCACTGGCCTCTCCTCGGAACGGGCATACAGGGACCTGCAGAACAACTACATCGGCGTTGCTCTCCTGGACCAACAGCACCCCTCTTTACCACTGATCTCTGTTGCAATCTTCTGTGCCCTGGCCCGGAGACTGGGCCTCGACGCCCGGTGCTGCGGTATGCCGAGCCATGCGCATGCCATGGTCCTGGCTCCTGGTGGCGAAACGCTGGATGGTCGGCCCTTGGCACCAGGTACAAGACCTGCAGAGCCCATGTATCTGGATCCCTATCGATCAGACCGGGAGGTCACGCTTGCAAGTCTCCATACGATGCTCAACGAGTGGGGAGTTCAGCAGATGCAGTTCGCAGGGCTCCTCTCAGACTCGAGCACGGCAAACGTGGTGCTGCGCACATCTCGGAATATCCTAGCCACCGTTCAGGAATATAGAGCACATACTACAAGCACAGTAAGTACCCGTCATCCGACTATCCGGCTTCACGCCAACTCGTTCGCCGACCTGGACAACGCATACTACTCCGCCCTTTGGGCACAGTACATCTTCGGAAACCCATCTCGGAGGCTAGCGGCTGCGGCCCAAAGCCAATTCATACCCCTCATCGTAGATAGGTTCGAACGGCTATATCCCATGGATGCTTGCCTCATCGAACGCTATGTTCTCCCCCTGCACGACAACCTGCCCAACGTCGAGCAATGGCAGCTTCACGAGGCCCTCCGCGTCGTCCGTACCGCGGACCAGACACCAAAGCAGGTGCGCCGCCGCAACGCCGTAGCCTCCATCGACGGCGTCCGATACAAAATCGGGCAGGTGTTCCGCCATAGACGTTACGCCTACACAGCCGTCATCACCGGCTGGGACATTGAGTGTGAGACGAACACGGACTGGTTAGCGCATAACAATCTCGATGAGCTATCGAGGGGAAGGAACCAGAGCTTTTACCACGCTTTGTAAGCATCTCTTTTTCCCCTAACTATGGGGTGGTAGCTGAGAATTAGGACAACTAGTGTGGAAGACGCGAGTATCCGCTATGTTGCAGAGGAGAACATTGAGGTCATTGAGCCGGAGGCGCCGGTTCTGTTGATGAGTCTGGCGGGCAGGTTCTTCAAACGGTGGGATCAGAAGAAGCGGGTTTTTATCTCTAATATCAGGGATGAGTATCCTGATGATTGAGTAGTAGTAGTAGTAGTATTGTTTAACGTCTATAGCGGGTCAACCCTGATGATTGAGAAGATGCGAGTGAAACGATAACATACAAGAAGAAGAAAAAGCAAAGGTACTGTTTCCTTCCTCTCCGATATTATTGTAATGCTGCGAATTCTTTGTTTGGAGAAGGGGAAGAGGGTGGATCCACCTTACATGGTTGGTTTCTCCCTGGTTAGGGACTCCCGAACGTTCTTTCCTATTTTGATTCATCGAATTTGGAGATTTCTCTTGTTTCTGAACAAGTGACGCTGCGCTGCTACGCTAGCAAATTCTTATTCTTGAGTAGGTAAACAAGTGAACGCTGCACTAGCAGCTTTGTGGATGTGGCCAATATGAATCTGATCTTGCAAGATAGGTAAGGTGTGTGCGATGAGCGATGAGCGCCTAAAAGAAGCCTTTCGCAAGAGTTAAGCCATAAAAAATGTGATTCACAGCCACGTAGAAAAAAAAAGGGTTGGTTACTTTGTGATCAATCAGTCTCGTTTGCTTGACTAGCTAACTGCCCGGTTTGCAGTGTGTCCACGTCAAGACGGGCGAGACCGAGCTGCCTACAGGGCAATTCATTCATTGGCTCCTGCTGATTGCAGATAGATAGATAGATACGTTAGTCCTAGAAGTACAAAATGGTCCATCCAGAGACAAGAAGATCGGGGCGGAGAGGGTATCGTATCTATCGGCTGCGAACATCTACATATTCCAGACCTCGACCTCGTCCTCACGTCCTCAATTCTTGCCGTTGCCCTTGCCCTTGTCCCGTAAATCCTTGATGATGGAAGGCAAGACTCCCGCATCAGCGAGAGCTTTCATGGCCTTGTACATGACGGGAGTGAAATCCTTCTTCCGACGCAGGGCAATCGCATCCTCCTGTACGACAACCATGGCCTCCTCCTGATACGCCGCGAGGGAGCGGCTCTGCTTCTCAGCTAGACCTTGGTAGATGCCGAACAGCGTACGCGGCTCGCTTTTGGCGGCCTCGATATCTGCAAGCTCGGAGTTGGAAGGTGCGGAGGCGGTGACGAACTCTTGGGTCAGTCCACAGGTGGTGCTGAGTTCCGAGAGAGGTGCTGCGAGGGGCGAGTTGATGATCACCTTCCAGTCGGGGATGGCATCGGCCAAGGCGGTTTCTACGGCTTGGAGGAGATGGGTGTTGCTGGCTAGGTCTTCGACCGCGGAGCGCATAGGGCTTTTGCAGAGGGCCATTAGGCAGAAGACGACACCATCATCGGCATACTTTAAGGTTCGCTCTTGGACGCTGTCTCGGGCAACGCTGAACCAGTTGTCACCAGCGGATCCTGGCCGAAATCAGTTTTGCTTCTGCGTCAGTTGGTCAGGTAGTTTGGCTCACCAAGGCTGACAGGCTCTCTTTGCAGACCGTCCAACCTCCAGACCTCCCCTTGAACCGGGACATAAGCGACGTAGTGGAAGCCTGGCTCGTCCTCGTCTTTCTGTTTCTTCTTTGGAGGAGCCTTCTTCCTAGCAGTTGCCTTTTTCTTTGGGGGATTGTCCTTGGTCTTTACCCATTTGTCATACTCATTCTTCAGAGCAAGGTCGGCATTGAGCACATCCATCTTACTATAGGGTCTCAGCGCATATCCATACTGTGTATCAATAACTGATTATGGATCAGGTGGCCTACCGAGCAAAGGAGTTGTGAATGTTTCGAATGAACTCATCATTCCCGATTCTCTTTCCCCGGTACGGTGGCTTCAAGTCTTGTGTAGACTCCTTGAATGCCCCGAGTTTATCACCGAGGTCTAGACCAGGAATGTTCATGACGATGTTGAGAAGAGCAATGGTGGCACAAGCGTTATTCGTTGTCTAGGCGGCAATTAGCTACTATCAATGTAGTGGAGGGGTTGGCACTGACTTGATTCGCGAACCAGACGCGCTGGGGGCACTTCTCTACATCCTCTTGCTCTTCAGCGTCATCATCATGGTACCTAAAAAGGAAGACCAGCCCGTAAACTGGCTTCCTGTCATGATATCAGTGTTGCTCGCAGTCGAGTGGAAAGATGCCTTACGGGAGATACACCAGAAACTCATCATCCAACGAAAAGATCTCCTGAATCTTGATATCGTTTATGCCCAACTGCCGTAAAACGTAGTTAAAGTGAGCCTAGTAAGATGTCAGGTTCTATTCAGAATCAGTAAACAGAACTGGAAAAACACACCGGGTCAGACTCTAGCTCCACCCAACCCTTCCAAGCTCGACGTTCGTCGTCGGTCAGCGGCTTCAAGGCCTCCTCAACAGTATCAATAGCAACCGTTAGTTCTTTTCTCTTTCGGAGGTTTCTCCTGCCTACTAGAGGATCATCGTCCGAAGCGAGGCTTCCATCAGCCATAGCCTCGGAGGAGTTGATCATAGGAGTATCCAGGTCGACTGTACCCGTAGACGCAGGTGGCTGGGCCTCCATTTGCGAAGCGCTTGACTTTACATGGACTGGAGAGCTGGACGAAATATTGAAGTCAGTCTCAATATGGGAACTGAGATCTGATTGAGTAGCGTTTGTAGGAGGTGTGTCCGAGACTTTATTGACTTGAGTGTCGAGCATAGTCTTGGGCGAAGACATGGTATTTGTAGATCCGGGGTTCTGGGACATGTTGCCGTTATTATAGCCGCTTTCGGCACCATTGCCTCTGACTTTAAAAGACGCATTGACAGCTGTGTTTTGAGAAGTACTACCATTGAATTGGGCTGAGGGGGTGGAGCAGACAGAGATATTTGGAGTGTTATTACCATTGGCTTCAACTGCAGATAGTGTGATGCCAATGGTAGTCTCGGGGATGCTTAAAGACCCTGGCGAGGCTGATAGACGTCCGGAAGACTGCGTTTTGTTCAAGTCTGAGGTGTGAAGCTCGACCGAACTAGCTTTTGTGAAGGTTGCCATTTCAGACTCCATAGAAGCCTTGCTAGCCCCCCTGATATCCAGTTTTGAATTGATTATCTGTAGACTCTCGAATCCTTTTTAATCACCTTTAGAGAGGATGTGTTCAGACTATCAAAAGTAAGCAAACATTATTCAAAATCAATCGGAGAGCTCACGTCGAGACTGACCTGTGTAAGCAGCTGCCAAAAAAAAAGTAGCTGCTTTGCTCAGACTAGTATCAAAGATTCAGAGCCGAGCAGCAGCAAACCGAGCAGAGAATGAGCGGAATGCGCAGTTGCAGTGAGTGCGTGGAAAGAGTAGAAACAGCAGAGTCTATCTTTGTGTCGACGATGGAACAAGAAGTAATCGATCGCAAGCAAGTAATAGGAGAATGTTATCACCGCAACTTGTGAGACGACGCGTCCTTCTACTCCTGCACGTGTCTCTTCTTGCACCTCATCTCATGTTGCCGACGAGCAGGAGGGGGGTGAGGCTGAGGAAGAGGAAGAAGAAGAAGAAGAAGAGGAAGAGGACGAGGCTGAGGAAAAAGACGAGGCTGACTGAAAGTAAATAAAGCGTTACGCAGAAACTCCACTCGGTTTTGATATCGATATCGAGGTGGGGGGAGCTAATGATAAAGCCAGCCACAGTTACAGCCACAGCTACAGCCAAAGCTACAGCCACAGCTACAGCCACACCCACGCACAGCCACTCCATTCCCTAGCCACACACTCGCAGCCACTCAAACCCGGCTTCATGTTAATGCGGGCCGAGCGACCCACCCTTTGCTGAGTGATGTTTGTTTGTTTGTCGCGTCTTCCTTCATGTTTTCTATCCTCTCCAACAACAAGAACAAGCTGAAAATCCGCCCACCACCACCCAACAACCACGACCCACCCAATATCCCAATCCAGCAGCCCCTCTTATTGCTTTCGGCCTCCATCTCGAAATCCCAAGCAAGGCGCCCTATCCGAGGACTCGACAGCCTATTCCTGACGCCTCCATCCCCATCCCCATCCCCATCGCCATCTACATCCCGAGCGTCCGCAAGGACCTCAAAGAGCATGCCATGAACGGAACACCTCGTTTGCGCTCGGCGTACCCGCCGACTCCTAGATCTGCTCAGCGAACCCCAGATCCTCAAGATGTCTCGAGAGTCAGAACCACTCTCCCGACCCTCCCTGATGCGACCCCCACAGCTCCAGCTGCTGCGCTCAGCAATCCGGTAATTCCAGTCAACCTGATCGATGCTCCGAGCCAGCGCATGTATACCGTGGCCCTATATGGACTCCTGTTTGTTTGGCGCCTTTATGACTGGTGGACTCTCGTGGAGGAGGACACCCACTCGTTCCCGCTTTTCTTGAAGTGGTGTATCATCGATGCAGTCTACTTTTTTGGGATACCATACCTGCGGATACCTTGGCTCGAATGGTCAGAGTCGGTGTCAATGGCAGCATCAGTTGGACACATTGGCTTGAACGCCATGTTCATGTTCAGGATACCTGCAAGTCATTCGCTGTACTCATTAATGGAATCTTGTTAACGCCAAAGCAGCTCCCTCTTGAACCGATTTTAGTAGCCGTTGCGAAAACCATCTTCGACAGAGAGATGTCGATTTCCGAGAATAGCGTACGGCCAAATAGTATTCTACACAACTCGTCTCTCATCATGGGCAAGCAAATCATCAATATTCTTCCTGAAGGGTAAGTCTTCCTGGGACCTTAACATGATCTTTCCTAACATCAAAATCAGGACCGTCACTATGAATCCAGACCAGCTGCCTTTCTGTCTCGACAGTAGTAAGCCGGTGGCTCAGATCCCGCTTTACTTTAATCAAACCACACCAAAAAGTGTTAAGCTGCTACGGATTGACTTGGAGACAAATATTAACGAGACGATTGTTCTGTCAAGTAAGGAGGTCAGGAGCGTCCGGAAAGTCCAGGACGACTCGCTTCTGACTCTCAACTATCCTGCCAAGAAGCCGGGCTTATATAGGCTTTTGGAAGTCTTCGACAATACGAAGCTGGAGGTCCAACGTCGAATGTCTGATACTCTTGTCGTTATTTGCCCAAAAGCTATTGTCAAATCGACAGGTGCTGATCGATGCCTGGGTGATCTATCTGACCTGACCATGGTGATAGAGGGAACCCCGCCTTTGAAGATAGTTTACAGCCGAACCGCGAACAGCGAACAGAGTGTTCATCACTTTTCAAGCATTCAGCCAGAGAATTTCGCTTCTCCTCTTCTCGGCTCTACAAGTGTAGGAACCTTGGTTCCTGCAGGTTCTGAAGACGCATCTCGGGCTCGATCACAACGCATTACCGTGCCATTGAACGAATCGATGATGCCGAGTGGCCAATGGCTATACTCTGTTGACGAGATTCATGATGCCTTAGGCAACGTCGCCAATTTCTCTTCGGGATCGGATGACGTCGAGCATGTCTACCCCAAGGGTGCGCATCTGGAGCAGGCTTTTACGGTGCACGACCGACCTGTCTCTAGACTGACCAGTTGCGATTCCCGGAATCCTATGATGGTGGCGAATGGAAGGACTACCCAGCTTCCTGTAGAATACTCAATGCCCGGCAAATCCCAAGACGATACGTCCCATACCGTTACCTGGAAGTTTTCGCCCTTGAACACTCTGACTCAAAGTGGAGATCACGGCTCAGAGGTTTTTTTTGAGGAGTACTTTGCCCCAACCGCTTACAGTCAGCCGACCATTCGCCAACCTGGCCTCTACACCTTGACGGGGGTGAAGAGCAAGTTCTGCGAAGGCAAAGTCAAAGAACCGGCATCTTGCTTGCTTCTTAACCCTCCCGAGCCAGAGTTGACCCTTTCAGCCGAGAACATCAATGATAAATGTGCAGGGAACTCGATCGGTCTTCTGGTTGATCTTGATCTGATAGGCACACCTCCATTTGTCGTGAGATATGACATAGAAACGAAGACCGGTACTCACTCTGAAAGCATTTGGGTAGAGGGGCTACGACACCAGCTCGAGTTGAAGCCCAGGGACGCTGGTCACTTCAAATATCACTTCACTTCTATAGATGACGCGATATACAAGGGTCAGCAACTTAGTGGAAGTGGTCTCGTATTGGAACAAGATGTCAAGCCCCCGGCTTCCGCCTTCTTGAGGCGACCTTTGGGCCCTATTGATGCATGTATCGAAGAACCAGTAGAGATGAACGTCGAATTATCTGGTGAGCCGCCATTTACCTTGGAATACGAATTGGTTCATGATGGGAAACGAAAACGAACCAAGGAGACCAACATCGAGACGGATATCTTCAACATCAGGACAGACTCATTGTCCAAAGGCGGAGAGTATTCTCTTGCTCTTACAAGCGTACAGGACAGAACCGGATGTAAAATATTCCTCAACAGCGAGGTCAAGTTTACCGTCAGACGCCAAAGACCGAAGGCATCGTTCGGACAGTTAGAAGGCAAACATACAACAGTCGAAGTAGAAGGCAAAAAGGTGGAACTTCCTCTCCGACTGACTGGTCGTGGGCCTTGGACCATCAAGTATCAGAACCTTGACGATGCATCCGGAAAGATACTCGAGAAGACCGCCAAAACCGCCAATGATTTGATCCAGGTCAACGAACGTGGCATTTATGAGATTCTGGAGGTGGCGGATGACCAGTGCCCTGGAACTGTCGACCCCGCTGCATCTACCTTCAAGGTCGATTGGTTCTCTAGGCCCCAAATTAGGCTGGCGGATACTGCCGCTCTCATTCTTGACGGTACGAAGTATCTCAAACGCGAGGTGTGTGAGGGTGATATCGACGCGGTTGACTTCAATCTCATCGGTAAGTTCTCAATATCAACGTTGCCGGTGGCGCTAATCTGTTGCTAGGAACATCCCCATACAATGTCAAATATGAAGTCCGGCATAGACCAGAGCATGGTTCCGGCTCGATCGCCAACAAGGAGTTTGAAGCTGCTCTTGGAGCTGCTACTATCTCCATGGACACAGCTAAGCCCGGAACTTACGAGTACAGATTTACGGAGCTATCTGATGCATTATACGATCACGACGGACACAAGCATACACCTCTGATTCTCGAGCAAACGGTCAACCGGAAGCCTTCGGCCCATTTTATCAAGCCAGGACAATCGTACAATTACTGCAAAGAAGAATTAGCAGGAGACGAGGTCATCCCTATTAGGTTAGAAGGCGTTCCACCATTCAGCCTCGAGGTAGACATCAAACACCAGAGTAATTCTCGACCTGAGACTGTGAAGATTCCAAACATCGATTCCAATCACTATGACTTCCGAATACCACATCGTGTACTGTCTCTCGGAATCCATCAAGTCAGCGTACGTAAGGTTCGAGACTCTCACGGATGCCAACAGAAGACAGAATATGGAGCACCCCATGTTCAAGTCCAAGTGTACGATGTCCCGACAATCTACCCACTAGATTCGCGCGTAGACTACTGCGTGGGGGAGAGAATTGCATATACCTTGTCTGGTACTGCGCCATTCGAGATATTCTACACGTTTGAAGGCGTACCAAGAAAAGCCAAGTCCCAGTCAACAACCTTCAAACGTATTGCCGAGAAGCCTGGCAACTTCATCATCACGGGCATTTCAGACAAAGCTAGCGAGTGTAAGGCGCGGACTGAGATCTTAAAGATTGTACACGAGATGCCGAGTGTCAAGATCAGCCAAGGAAGACAGGTTGAAGTCGACATCCATGAGGGTGGGGATACGGAGATTCTCTTTGAATTCTGGGGCACCCCACCTTTCGAGTTCACTTACACCAGAAGTACGAATGCTCGCCGAGGGCAGAAGTCCAAGATTCTGGAGACTAGACACGAGGTGTCCGACGAGAATAAGAAGACGATCAGGGCCTCACAGGAGGGCACGTACGAAGTGGTGGCGATCAAGGATAGGTTCTGTTCCTTCTCTACGCAACGAGCCGATATGGGAAGCAAGCAGAAGCTTCTCCAATTCTAGAAGGTTGATGGCTTCTTGTTGGATCATGGTATCAAATTCATTGTCATAGCGCGGCGTTGGGCGTGTTCTTTTGCAGATCTCTTCTTTCTTTTGATCGGCCCATAATTCAACAGATATGAAGCGAATATGAAAAGCATCCGTGTTTATGGTCCTCGCTTTGTAGACATATGTATGATACATACATAGGTATATATATCCAGGTTTCATCCCAGCTCTTTCACGCACTGCGCTTCTCTTCCATCCCAGACCTCGATCTCTTGGCCTCAATGAAATTCTTGTCCTTCTTGTTGGAGTCCTAGTCTCTGTCGGCCTGATCCTTCTCTTCCACGGCGTCCATCCAGGAGATATTTCTTCTACTCCATGTAGATGCGCTCTCCCTTTACATCTCTCTCGATCGATCGATATTCCTTCCTGCAGTGCACGCTCCAACTCTTTCAAATACTCCCCCTCGAAATCGATACCTCTCGCCCTTTAACCCCCCTTCATCAACCCCCCATCGATCTCCCCAACTTCCGCCCTCAGCCCCCTCAGCGCCCTCATCCCATCGAGCGCACACATCTCTTTTTTTCTGCTCCCAGATGGTGAACGTCTGCGGCGGCTCTTGCCATGCTACGACGTACCAGCAGCGTGTGGACGGACGTGTCCGTCCATCTATCTGCACTACTCACCCACCCACTTCAAACTTGCAGACCTTTCCTGATCCCCCTCTCTTTCCCCTCGCCTTATCCTCGCTGGCGTCTGCGCCTCCACCTCGCCTGGCTTCGAGGGCTTTTTTTTTTTTTTTCTTTCTTTCTTTTCGGCGCCGTGGTGGATGATGTGGCTGTCTGATGGACGTGGGGAGGGCACGTCGGGCGCTGGACAGCAGCACCAGATCCGAGCGCCGGCGTCTTGTGCTTGCTGCCTAGACGGTGGGTTGTAGTCCACATTTGCGGATTGCGGATTGCGGATTGCGTGAACCTTCTGGGTCGGGGAGCCATGGGCAGCAGGCAAGGGCAAGCAAGAGAATGGGGGAGGGTTCTCGAGGAGGGAGGGAGTCCCAGGGCCTGCTGTCTGCTGTGTGTGGATATTGGCGGCGGCGGTGGCGGACTCGAATGTCGACGAAGTAGGCTGTCAGGGGGCGCGATCCGATGAGATTGATTACTTCGTGTTCTATTCGCAGGAGGTGAGAATGTAGTTAATGTGTTTGATAGATATACATCTGTGATTACGATATGGGGTATTTCTGAGAAGGCTGCTGCTAGGTTTCAAGGACTCTACTAGACTTCGTTCCATGCAGAGACGTGGGTCCGAGAGAAGGCATGTATGATATGTATATAGGTAGGTACTCGCCTGGTTATCACGTAAGAAGAAGGGTTCCTCTCTATAGACCACCTGGACGTAAATTCAGTTCTATTCTCAGCTCACTATGCTAAATTCATTGCTGGATGCACGCATGCCCTGAATTCCAGCTGTTCCAAGATTGGCATCCTCATCGCTCAACAGCTGGCATGCAATCGAACCTTGACCCCGTTCCCGCTGCAATTCGTGAGCGTCAGGTTATGCCTGACGATAGGATCTACTTCCAACGACTCCATCCGGTCGAAACGCTGTATCAGACGCACGGTAACATAGGACGCCTCGGTAAGAGCGAATTGCTGACCTATGCACATGCGTGGTCCTCCATTGAACTGTCATTCTAGTCAGACGTCGGCGAAAACCAAAAAAAAAAAAAAAAAAAAAAAAACCGTGAGGCTGTGTAGTTGGGTTGACCTACCGGGAGGAACTCCCAACCGGGTTTCCTACCCTCGAACCTCTCGGGTCGGAATTCCTCCGCGTCCTCACCCCAGATGTCTTTTCTGTGATGCATGGCATGCACGGAGTAGTCGACGGAGGAGCCTTTGGGGATGAATATCTTGGACTTCCCGTCCTTCCCGCCTCCCCGGGGGATGGTCGTATCGCGGTTGGCGAAGCGGCTGTTGATCGGGACCACGGGGTAGAGACGGAGAGTCTCACTGTTGCAGTGCTGCAGATACTGACAGCCCTTCACCCGAGAGAAAGTGATATCCTTCGGCTCGTCAAAAGTTCCGAATTCTTCAATGATCACGCGTCGCAGCTTCGCAAATCGAGTTGGGTTGCGAGCCAGGTTGAAGAATAGCCATCCGAGGAGCGATGCGGTCGTGTCTCTTCCAGCAAGCAGGATGTTCAGGAGCTGCGAGCGGAGTTCAATCGGATCCCGGGTCTGTCGTACCAGTTGTTCTAGAAAAACATACTGCTTCAGCTGTCAGCACGTAGATTTTTCGAAGCGAGTGAGCATAACGAGGACTCCGTCCGCTCTTTGCCTCTCCAACCGCAATGCTATCGAGGTGTGATGAACTAACTGACCTTCCCCGTCCCAGGTTCCTTCTCCCCGAGATCTTTCGACAGCGCCAGGCGAACAAAGTGATCAATAAAGTCATGGCAAGTCTTGCAAGCCTGCTTGAAGCCCTTGGGATTGCAAAGGTAATACTTATCTCCAAACCGACCTCGCGTCGCTAATGCCGCTTGACCTCTGTCAAAAGCCTCTGCAAAGTCGGCCGAGAGAGGGCCACCAGACTGGCTGTTCTCGCCCTTGTGGTTTGGGAGGAGACGCACTTGGGAGTCAACAGACTCGCCAAAGAGGAACTCCGTCGCAGAATCCAAGGTGAGGCGGAAGAACAAGCCTTGAAGATCGACCTCGTCGGTCCACTTGTTAGGACCTAGCTGGGTGTCCAAGGCTCTCATCATATTCTGAAGATGCCTCTCCGTCATTTCCAAGTCCGAGATTTGCTCCCTCGCGAACTGAGGCCTCATCATGGCGCGAGAATGCTCCCCTGGGTCTCAGTTAGCACCAAGGCATGGTACCTTCTTCCAGCGTAGAGACCAGAACGAACGTACATCCAGCCCCATCCTGCGTAAAGATTCCATTCCCCAACAGCGGCCAGAAGTTCCCCCTCCTCGTCGGCCCCAGATCAAAATCAGTGAACTGCGTAGCGAGGATAGCCTGGATGTTCTTCTCATCGGCGGTAAAGATGTTGCGCGTGCCCAGCAACGAGTACCTACATGTTTTCAGCTTTGAAATTCAAAGCGGTCGACAGACCATGCCCAGTCACAGTGCGATTTTCGAGATTTGACAATGAGGGCGAGAAGTGATTCGGAGTTTACCTATAAGTGATAGCCCCGACATCCGCCATGCGCTTCATCGAATCGTCAGGGAATCGTTTGGCTTTGTCGGCTGCCAGAGCACGCATGATGTTGTCGATGCCTCCGGGATATCGGTTCTTCTGGAAGGGCGGCTCCTCGCATTTTAGTTCTCGAGCCTTGATGGCCTGACGACGAGTCTTGAGGAAGCTGGAGATGAATTTGTACAAGATGTAGGATACTGCTACCCAGAGGGCTGTGAGGCGGATTGGGGGTTGCATCTCAGGTGGTGGGCGGGTGGCGAACTTTTGGATCTTGACAGCATGTATCGATCCGCGAGAGATCTGGAGTCTAATTAGGTCTAGGATAGATGTAACTTCCACAGCAGAGCGGTACGGGGTAGAAATGGGAATGGGATTGATTGCAGTTTGAAGGGATATGTATCGAGGATTAAGGATTGAGGATTGAGGATCAATGACAGAGTATGTATCGTATGAGACATGAGGGTTGAACCATGATCGTCAAGTCAAGTTCTTCTAGAGCATCCGGAGCCAACGCCCTTGGCCACCTAATGCAGGCTCTACTCCGTAAAGTATGTGGTTTGTACACACGAAAGTGTCGCGAGCGTCTTGAGACATTGTATGCTGATTGACGGAGTTAGATACCACACGCACGACGACGACACTCATGCTGCATTTTCAGGTCTTCTTCGTCGGAGGTGCCTACACTAAGTACACGAAGCAAATGCAGATTCCAGGACTCCATCCGCCATCGCTACCGTGCTGCGCCGGCCTGAAAAAAAATCCGAAAGAAAGCAGATCTGTGACCTACCACGGCAAACCACCGATGAACGAAGTCGCAAGTGCACCAACGCTTGTCTCTACATCGCTCCCATGTCCCAAGTCCCAAGTCCCCATGCCCAAACCCTCTTGGACCAACCCCGATGACCAGGGCCGTCTCCTCCATGCATCCGCCCAACCCATTCAAGAGACATTAGTACAATCGTCGAAAAAATTCATTTACAGTATGACATGACATTCGTAGAAACATCGGGTATTGTCGCCGTGACACTTATGCATGCTCGTAAGGTCGTAACTATCGCACCAGGTCGCCGTCCAGTTGCATCCCGAGGCCTGTGTGCTGTGCAGCGTCAGGACCATGGTCTCGCATGTTGGGACTTTGGATTGAGTTGTCAAAGGTGAGACGTCTCTTAGCAACCGTGAGGGGGGTCTTGATCGTCCTCGGAGTCTTTGGCCACACCTTCTGGGCTGGGCTTGGGGTGATGTTGACAAAGTCAGCAAAGTCGAAGCTTTGGGTAGGCGTGTTGGGATGCAAATTTGCTAGAAATCCGACTCCAGTACCTCCTGGAGTGGACATCATGGACGAAGGAAGGCCAGGAGTCTTGGGAGGTGGTGTAGACGGTGGCTGCATACGGGATCGGGTTGGATTTGCGGGCGACGGAGAGGTTGCAAGATATAACAACAAATCTACACCTTCAGACTTTCCATTCTTTCCTTGGTTGCGGCGACCCAGGCTGCCTCGAGCGCGGACTGGAGAGGGGGTGCGAGGTGGGGAAGAGCGGATGTCGAAGGAATGCTCTGGCAATGTGTTTTCGTCGTCGTCCGATGCCGCAGCGAAGTTGGAGTGGATATCGGGGAGATGGGAGCTTCCTGCGTAGAAAGACAGACTCGGGCCAGAGGAGGTGGTGAAGTGTGGTTGCTTTTTGGGCTTGATGGGTGAGGATTGTGTGAGCTGATGGGAAGCACGGCCAGCACGAACTGTCCGGCCAACTGTTGGAGAGGAACGGAATCTCTTGCGAGAACTTGCGCTGGAACTTGGCAGTTCAAATGCGAAGCTGCTGTGCTCGAGAGCGTTGTAGGTTCGCTTTCGGTATCCGCTCCCACTTCTACTTCTTGGTTCAAGCTGATCGGAAAATATGGCTGGGGCTTTCAAGGGAGAGGTCATGATGTTTCTCGAAGTCGCATTCGAATTCGAACAGCGGAACTCGACTGAAGAGTCGCTCGACGACGAATCAGACAGAACTCCACTCGATGTCGGTCTTCTTCTTCTCTTCAGCTCCTCTTCAACCCTGGGCTCAATGGTGTCAAGCGGCAGGTCCTCCCATCCGCGAGCGGCTTTGAATTGTGCGAGCGCAAGTTGGGTCTTGAGTTTCCGGCCAATCTGCGACACGTTGTCAGCCTCGTCCTACGGCTTGAGAAATGGTGCGAGCGAGGACAGAGGATAGAGGAAAGATTTCTCGATATATGTATACCTTGCCAACTTCCGCCCGCTTCAACACAGCATCAGCCACCACCTCGGGTTGTCTCTTTTTCCTCGGAGACGACATTTTCTCGGTTCAGATTCGGATTTGAATTCGCATGCGCCGTCAGGATTTCGCAACTTGTACGGCCGTGAGGTGAGTGGAAAGGCCGTATAGCTGAGGGAGATCGCAAATCAGCGTCTTCGTAGGCACCAAGTCGAGATGTAGGTGTTGTTGTCACCGTCCAAAGGGGGTGGAGTGGAAATTGGTTCCTCGGTTGGGTCAAGGATCGATCGGTCGGTAGTTTCTGGAGTGAATGAATAAGTGAGGTTCGAATGTCTTGCTTAGCAGATGTAACTTCGGAATATTGTATGTAATAAGACGAAGAGTGTTCCGAAAGTGCGAATGGGTAAAGAGGTGGAGTGGTGAATATGTCGAGATGGAGAAACCAGATGGACTTTGCGACGGGGAGGACAGACAGGACAGGACGGGAACTGAGATGATGGTATTATTGACATTTCATCTCCCAGCCAATGAATGGGACATGGCGGCGAATCCACTTTTATTACATTTCTGTAAGTGCATATACCAAGAATATCCCGTATAGGTAAGTTTTGTTTAAGTTATAAATAAGCTATATATTACATACTATATATCATATATCGTATATCATATGTTATATACCTCTAAAGTGATCACAGTTCCCATCTCCCCGGCGCCCTGATCCCTCCCCGTCAGTGTCAGTGTCAGTGTCAGTGTCATTCTCAGTCTCAGTCTCAGTGATCCTCTAGCCGCGCAGCTCTCCTCGGCGCTTCAATTCCCCCTTTCCTTCGCCTGGGGACTCGCTCACTCGCTCACTCGCTCTGCAGACTCAGTATCGGAGAAGAAGAAAAGGAGAAAAGAAAACAGAGAAAGTAAGAAAGAGCTACGCAGTAAGTAACTCTACTCTACTACCTACCCAATCCAGGAGGCTTCCCGCAGAAAACAAGCAAACGAGCAAACAAAACAAACAAACAAAACAAACAAGCAAAACAAACAAGCAAAACAAACAAACAGATCAGACAACCACTCCACTGCACTGCACTCCACTCCACCCCACTCCACTCCAACACAATCGCGTTGGATACCCGATACCGGTACTCTACCCAGGTACGGAGTACGGAATAAACAAACCATCTTTTCTTCTTCCCGCTGCCTGTGTCCCCATTTCCATCACCCATCACCTATCGATCCGAGGCGCTCGTTCTACGGAAAGCTCTAACATCCCCAGAGCCCAGATGCGTGCATAAATGATAATGGCACCCTCGTTCCTCCGAGATCTACGACGGCGCTCCAAAGCAAGCTTCAAGGCAGACCGATCAACCGATGGATCCTCAAGCAACGACACCAATGGCTCGACGCCCTCAACCTCGACTTTAAACTCGGCTGGGGGCCATGAGAGCAAAACCCCCCCGCTCACCAATTCGACCTCGGCCCCGAATTTGGCGGCCCTCTCTGCGACAATTGCGCCTCTCGTCAGACGACCGACCCTCCCTACATCCTCTTCAAACAGGTTCAGCAGATCAGGAAGCGTTTCGGGAATGACTGGGCTGGGATCGCCACCACCAAACTCTTCTCTGCCTACCTCGCCCTACGCCCCAAGAATCACCAGTATTGCAGACCAGACTTGGGTACGTGACAAGACCGTGGCTTGCGAAGGCGTGAAGGCTGATGAAAGAAAACAAAACAAAATAGGTCTCTCAGAAGATTTTGTCGGTTTATGGAGTGATTGCAGATCCGGCACTTCAAGCCTTGGAGGGTTCGGTTACGGTGAGGAGGATCGATGATGGGTTCCCGGCAACGGACTGGCCTGTTTGCGAATCCCACTTCAAATCGCTCGTATACCTGTTGCCTGGACCGAACAAGCTGAGATTCGACTTCACATCACCGAAACTGGCTAATAACAACACTGGAAATCCGATCCACTCGTCATATTTGACTGTACATATGATTCCCCCACTCGCATCTCCGCCCTTACAGCTGGTAGTTCTCATGGCCAAGGATTCGCCAGGAACCTACGACGCATGCCCTCAGCGTGTCGAGAGAGAAGGCAACGGTCTGGAGACGGCTATCAAAAAGTTTCGAATGGCCGCTTATCTCTGGCAAGCTTTCACGGTAAGCCATGAGGATTGCACCGAATGGCCGCCTGAAAGACTAACCGCGTCCAGGCCGAGCAAATGTATCGCAACAAATTTGGGAGACGTTGCTGGAGGGTAGAAGAAGAGTGGACAAATGGGACAGCTAGTTCTCGGGACAAAGCTAGTGGAGTAATGCGATCAGAAGCCAAGGTTCATGTTGTGCGATGTTCGAAGACGGTCGCGGAGCTCCGCGACCTAGATCTTGCACAACAAAACCCCAAGGCCAAACACAGCGCGGAGCTCTTCAGTATTGCTCTCGATGCTGTCAAGGAGTATTTCAATCCGCTGCCAGGTCAAAAGCAATACGTCTCGGTACTCCTGCTTGACGCGCACTGGGACAAAGAGCAAAGCATGATTACGAGCCATGCCGCTCTTGGAGGAGGTTCGGGAGAAATTCAGTTGGCGATCTGTGGATCTCACGCTCTTCACAGCTACCCCAGCAACTTCGAAGAAGTTGTTGCGGCTTTCTCGGACTGCACACCGACAGACACGAACTATGTTGCAAATGATTGCAATGAATCTGGCAGCAGCTGGGAAGCAGCCAACATAGGAATCGGCGCACATTTGCATGAAATAGGGCATTTGTTTGGCTGTCCCCACCAACACTCGGGAGTCATGCTACGCGATTATGTCAAGTTGAACAGATCATTCATTACACGAGAGTGCTATTCGACAAGGACGAAATCCAAGGGTGGACTGGTTTTGCAGAACGACGAATGCACCTGGCACCGCCTCGACCTCCTGAGATTCAAGGCTCATCCATCCTTCGCGTTGCCTGGAGACCCTCCTCGACACAACGACGATTCTGTGCAAGCATGGCCCGTTGATAACGGAATTGTCTCCATCACCGCTCCCTCTGGAATTGCCTACATCGAGATATATACCGACGGCGACGAGATGTGCAAATATTGGCAAGAATTTGGCGATGGTCCGAATAACATCATTCAAAAACAAAAGGAATTGACCGAGCCGGAACTGCGGGCTCGGTTACCAGATGATCGAAGAAAGGCCAAGCTGAAATTGATCATCAAGTCAGTTGCGGGCGGAAGCCACGAGATTGAAGATTTCACGATCCTGGCATCCAAAGCTTCCAGAGTCAAGTTGCCAAGCGGGCATTTCGCCTTCCGGAGCAGCAAGCTAGGCCTGTCACAATTGGATGGGTCCACTCCTGAACAAGTTATCTTACATAGCGCCATAGAGCAGACAAAGCTCCTGACGCAGATTAAATTTTACCACGGCAGCTCGCTGGACGGTGTCGAATTTTGCTACGAGGATGCCTCTTCCCAGCTGTTTGGTAAACGGGGAGGGACACCAGGTGGTAGCGAGTTTAACCTGGGTAGGAACCCCAATGAAGCGCTGCCTTTTTATATGGCTCGACTGACGGATTCCAGATATTCGAAAGGGCGAATACATTACTGGATTTTATGTCAGAAGCGGCTTCTGGATCGACGGTCTTGCTGTAATCACTAGTTTGGGTAGGAAATCCGCTGTCTATGGAGATGCGAACGGTGGTGATGGGTAAGAAGCACTCCAACTCTTGGAAAATACTGCTAATCGCCAATTAGTCACACTTTGATACCCCCAAGAGGCTACAATCTGGTCGGAATCTACGGCTCTTCCGGCGCATGGGTCGATGGTTTCGGAATTCTAATAACTCGATGATGCATTCTTTTTGGCAATGGGCTCTCCCCATTGGATTCGTAGGGCTAGCTAACACCTGACCCTGAATGATGCCCGGCAGGCTGTATGTAACGGCGGCCAGGTTGGGGCAACAACACACGACCCATGGATGGTATTGTATAATGTTAGGGCAGGGGAAGCAACTCATGGGAAGGCCACTCCGGGGCAGGATATGCCGCGAAACCATTCACCGCGACTCATGGATAGGCGCTTCAATGAAAGGCGAAAGTAGAGGTACACACAGGCAGGCATACATGAATTCTCTGTGCTATACAGGGAATTAGAAGATAGATACGCTCCAAGTTCAAGAATTAATGTGTATTCCAACACGCTTCTCATGCCGCACTAGACAGATGGTTTATTTGTTTGTTTACTTACAATCCGACTACAGCCTGACAAACGAGGTTTGTGGCGCAGGTGGCTGTGGTCTATGACGTTCGCCAAAGTACAGTCAGTACGTACAGCTCACTCACTCAGTACAGCCTCTTTCACTGGAGCCAAAACCTTGGTTTTGCTTTGTGACCCTTCTGGCACTTGTTTACTTTGCCCACAAACTCTACTTTTACAATACAACCTACCTACCCACCCAACCACCCACCTACCTTTCGGCGCAGAATTTATTGAATTACGAATACCCCCATCCCATGATGTCGAAACGAGTTGGTACCGGTGTTGCGATGGGAAGCGCGGTGAAGGAGGATCCGCCTGGTATTACCCATAAATCTCGACAGGCTTGCTCAATACCACGGGGACTAATATGGGATAGTTGTTGACAAGCAGAAGAGGCTTTTGACCGAGGAGAATACCCACTTCAGCTTAATCCGCGCCATGCATCTAGCTGATCTGATCACCGAACTGAACGGTAGATTGATGCGGAATTCCCTCGTCGCGACAGAAGAGCTGACAGGACTTTGTAGGCTTCTGCGGGGTTATGTCTATCTTCTCTGCCATGCGCTACTGCCTGGGCGCTTCCACGGACTACGGAAACCTCTGGGCAGCTCTGGCTTTCATGCCCTTCGGCCTGTTCTTCGATTTCATGGATGGCAAGGTTGCGCGGTGGAGAAAGAAGAGCAGTTTGATGGGACAAGAGCTTGACTCCTTGGCAGATCTGGTACATATCTCTCCCTCTATCCCTCGCGCATGAGAAGAAGCTAACAGCCAAATCCAGATCTCCTTCGGTGTCGCCCCCGCCGTGTCAGCCTTTGCCATTGGCCTCCGCACACCTGTCGACCACCTCCTCCTCACCTGCTTCGTCCTCTGCGGTCTCACCCGCCTCGCCCGCTTCAACATCACCGTCGGCAACGTCCCCAAGGATGCCACCGGAAAGAGCAAATACTTCGAAGGCACCCCGATTCCCACTTCGCTCTCCATTGCCGCTCTGATGTCCTACTGGGTGAGCAAAGGCTGGATTCTGGAGAACTTACCAATGGGGACCTGGGCTACCGGTACCATGTTCGAGTTTCACCCTGTGGTGGGACTTTTCATCCTGAGTGGGATTGGCATGACCAGCAAGACGATTCACATTCCGAAGCCTTAGGTGGGATTTTAGTATTTGGGTTTGGGAGCGGTTTGCCGAGGTGTTGGAGCCTAGACTCTCGGTGCAAAATAGGCATGGTGGATGAGCAAAGGGAGGGGGTGTGATGGTGTGAAGTTACGGTGCGTTGCTATGATACCTCTCGGTCAGAGCCTTTAGAAGGTGACTTCAATACACTTGCAGACACGAGAAACCGAGCCAAAATGGTCCCTACTGATACTGTCTGAAGCCTCCTTGTCGTACAAGTATCCAGGCTAGCTCGTGACATAGGAGGGCTGAGATTGTTCATGCAAGAGTCATGCATTGATATCGAAGCAAAAGAGCCAAAAGGTACAAGCCAGGAAAGAACACCCATACCAGAGCGAGATGCAAGACATGAGACCTTCACCTACCTACGCGGAGGAACTCCAGAGCTAAGGAGGCTCGCTAACGTAACTAGAACAGTCAAGATAACAGCGTGGACTGAAACATAGTGTAGAAAGAATCCCTGACATTTTGTTGCCCCAATACCACCTTGGCAAGTACACCTCCAAAGAACCTTCAACGCCGAGATATCCACGGAAGCCAGACCATAGCAATTCTTCCACCTAACCACGACCTCTCGAGAATCCACGGCTGGCACCACCTCGCCCTCTTGGAGTGAAGCCGCCACCGCCTCCCCTCGAGAATCCACCGCTTCCTCCACGGCCACCACGTCCGCCAGCACTGAATCCACCTCTGCCTCGAGGTGCACCTCTCGCACCGCCACGTCCACCTCGCATGGGTCCGCCTCTACCTCCCCGGGCGCCTCCGGCTCGCTTAGGCTTCGCTGCTCCTGGGGGCGGTTTGGGCTTGGGGAGAAACTTCTCCAGGGGGAGAAGCTTGTCACCACCAATGTAGAATTTGTCTCCGGATTTGAATGAAGCAGCCTGGATTCCCTCACTGCACTTGATCGTGAAGTAGACGTTATTGATGGGGCCAAGAATCTGTTCCGTCTGTCAGTTAGTGCTCCTCAGGTGCATCGACAATGGCGACGAATGTTCTCCCCAGTAGAGCCTCTTGCCGTGTCAAAGCGCACTGAAGAAATCTTGGGTTGGAACTTGCCTCGTCGACCTTTCCTATACTCGTTCTAAAGAATAAGACGTTAGAAAGTGATCCGAATGATTTGTCTGGGTCGTGGCAAGCGCGCAGCAAGCACCATTAGTCTGTCTTGTAGCATGTGCTCCCTCCAAAGGGTGCACTGGGACACGAAACGTGCACTTGGCGCCTGCCCGACTAACTCACTTGTTTTGAAGGTATATGGGCGCATTGAAGTATGGAATCTTGGTATTTATGGATTCGCACACAATCTCTCCTGTAGCTGGCGCGTTAGCCATCACCCGCTTCAACTTGGGGCAGAAGTAAGAGAATAAATACCCTCGCAGGCGTGCATGAAGCTTCCCATCTCAAGAACTGCATCTGGAGGTCCACTGGAAAATCCGCCTCGACCTGGTAGAAGAATCAGTCCCAGCTCTGTAGTCGCCTCGATAATCCCAATTGCTCACCTCCTCGACCTCCAAAACTGCCGCCACCTCTACCACCACCGAATGAGTTTGAGCCTGTGCCGCGACCGCGGGGAGCTCCTCGGAATGACATGATCGTAGATTTTGGTGGGTATCCGGAGGGGTGGAATTGGAGAAAATGTGCGTTCGTGAAGCTCAAATCTTTAGAAAAGTTTCCAGGCGGGAGCTAACGAGCTTCGGGCTTAGCGTTGGTTATCCATTCAACTCGGTGGGCAACTCTCGATTCGACTCACCGCGCTTCTTTTCTCCAAGTCTCCAATTCAGCTGGGATAACCGCAACAAAAAAAAATTGAGAGTTCGACTCCATTCATGGAGCAAGCACAGAAGGCCGTTGAGGCTGTCGCCGAAGGCGTCAAGAAAGTAGCCGTTGGCGAAAAGAAGCAGAAGGCCAAAAAAGAAAAAGGAGGGGATAGCGGGGCAGATGCTGGTAAGACACCCTCCTTCGAAATGCTATACCAACAGGAAAGAATAACATTTGCGCAATAGGTCCTCTTGAATTGGATCCACGTAGGTACCCTGCTTACCTAGGACATGACGTTCACGAATAACTATCACCATTTCGTCGAGGTCTCACACTCACTGACCACGAAATCTGTTACAGAACCTCAATTCCTCGAAGATCGCCTTGCGCTGTTCACCAGATTGAAGACGAAATTCGATGCCGAAATCGCTGCGAAACCCCGAGAGCCAATCACGATCACACTCGCAGATGGAACCGTCAAGTCGGGCACCTCGTGGGAGACTACCCCTGCCCAAATCGCAGAAGGCATCTCGAAAAGCTTGCTTAAGCGCACAGTGGTAGCGCGACTCAATGGAAATAACGAGCAGCTGTGGGATCTAGGAAGACCTTTGGAGGCAAGCTGCAAGCTGGAGCTACTCAGCTTTGAAGATCCGGAAGGCAAGAAGGTTTTTTGGCACTCGAGCGCGCATATCCTTGGTGAAGCTTCCGAGAGGAGATTTGGCTGCAGTCTTTGCATTGGACCCCCAATTGATGATGGCTTCTACTACGAGATGTCCCTGCCTGATGGAGCCCCTGTTCAACAAACAGACTGGAAGCCTCTGGAAACACTGGTAGGACAAATTGTTAAGGAGAAGCAACCCTTTGAGAGATTGGTCCTTTCCAAGGAAGACTTGCTAGAGATGTTCTCGTACAACAAGTACAAGCAACACATCATCAAGGACAAGATCAAGGACGGAGAATTCACCACGGTCTACCGAAATGGGCCGCTGATCGATTTATGCCGAGGTCCCCACGTGCCCAACACTGGCCGCATCGAGTCATTTGCTATCATGAAGAACTCGGCGTCATATTTCCTGGGAAACAAGGATAATGACTCCCTTCAACGTATCTACGGTGTCTCGTTTCCCGACAAGAAGCAGATGGCCGAACACAAGAAGTTCTTGGAAGAGGCTGCTAAGCGAGATCACCGAAAGATTGGCAAGGATCAAGAGCTATTCTTCTTCCACGAGCTTTCCCCTGGGTCAGCAATGTGGCTACCGCATGGCACCCGAATTTACAATACACTCCAATCTTTCATCAGAGAAGAGTACTGGGCCCGTGGCTACAACGAGGTCATCTCTCCTAACATGTACAATTCGGAACTGTGGAAGACTTCAGGTCACTGGGACTATTACAAGGATGATATGTTTACCTTTGGTAGTGATAAAGAGACATTTGCTCTGAAGCCAATGAACTGCCCTGGCCACTGCCTGATGTTTGATCATCGCGAGAGAAGCCACCGAGAGCTCCCATGGAGAGTTGCCGATTTTGGTGTACTCCATCGTAATGAGGCATCGGGTGCTTTGTCTGGATTGACGAGAGTACGCAGATTTCAGCAGGATGATGCTCACATTTTCTGCCGTGAGGATCAGATCAAGGATGAGATCAAGGAGCTGTTTGATTTCCTGCAAAAAGTTTACGGCCTATTCGGTTTCACATTCAAGCTCAAACTCTCCACGAGACCCGAGAAATACTTGGGCAAGCTCGAGACATGGGATATGGCCGAGGGGAAGCTCCGCTCTGCATTGGATGAGTTCGTCCCGGGCAACTGGGAACTAAACGAGGGAGACGGGGCTTTTTACGGACCAAAAATCGATATCACCATCTCGGATTGCTTGCGACGAGACTGGCAATGTGCCACCATTCAATTGGACTTCCAGCTGCCGCAAAATTTTGGCCTGGAATACATGACTTCCGAGATGGTCACCAAGTCCAAAGACGAGCCGGAGGTGAAGCCAGACGAGCCCAAGAAGGCAGCAGCTGTCTCGGGACCTGATGGACAGAAGGGGAGAGTCTACAAGCCTCTCACGCCTGGCTGTGCTAGACCTGTCATGATCCACCGAGCCATTTGTGGCAGTATCGAGCGTTTCACCGCCATCCTGACGGAGCATTTCGGTGGGAAATGGCCCTTCTGGTTGAGCCCCCGACAAATCCTGGTCATCCCAGTCGGTGTTGGTTACTTCGACTACGCCAAGGAGGTGCAGTCGATTTTCAAGGCAGAGGATATGTTTGTCGACGTGGACCTCAGCGGCAACACCCTGCAGAAGAAGATCCGCACGGGTCAATTGGCCCAGTACAATTTCGTTTTCGGTAACTACGTTCATACCCTTGTTTGGAGATGTGTTTACCCGCTAACCGCGTACAGTTGTTGGTGACCAGGAGATGAACGGAAGAGAGGTCAATGTCCGCAATCGGGATGACACTTCAAGTCAAGATCGAGGCAAGCCTGTTTCCTTGGAGGAGGCAATCGCCAAACTTAAGGCACTGCGTGATGAGAGAAGATCGGATAACCCTTTCCCAGGTGAGGCTAAGGCTTCCGCGGTCAAGGCATGAAGCGTTTCCCTATGAGGGCTATTCGCATTGGCGTGGGCCCGCGGGGAGGCTGCACTGTCAGCAAGGCGCGATGACTATTTGGAAGATGTAGAACTCGAAAATTTGAGAGGGGCGCAAAGGGATGGGGGGTTGGTGGGAAGAGATGCGCAGAATCTAAAGAATTCAGCGATCACCACTTACAATGAAGAAGCGCTCACCTGACGTGCTGAACCTCGCGACTGTAAAAGTGATTTAAAGTATGAGGTTGGAGCCGGGAAAGTCAGTATCGTATAGGGCTGGGGGTACGACAATATTGTACAAGTATACCGTAGCGGTAGGCAGTGGGGAATGGGGATGGGTGTCTTCTCCGGTTGGCTGTGATTCTTGCGGTAGCAGTAACAAGCAGCAGCAGCAACTACGTCACCGACTCACCAGTGTCACCCATATTCCCGATTCCCGAAGGCAAGCAGACTGCAGACTGCAGACGGTGCCCTAAGCCCTTTGTTCTGCAACACCGATCGACACCATCGCCTCTAAACATCCTCTTTTACCTTTATCCTTATTTTCACTTTCGCTATTCTTACATCACTAGGTACCGGTACCGGTATCCTGACGATCCTCCGCATCCTGACGATCCTCCGCTTCCTCCTCACCATCTACGTCATCTCTCGCTCGGTAAACAAACCTTGCTTCACCGCCCCCGCCCTCTCCCCCACGTTGCGGAGACGGAGAAACAAGACAACATTTGAAAGGTCTCCCCAACGACCACCACATCACGGGGCCCAAGGTGAGTTTGTCTCCCTCTTTGCTACGGTATCATTCCCTCGCATCTACAACCTCGGCGGCATATCTCGCTATCACCATCACCATCACCATCGCCGTCGCCATCTCCATCCCCATCCCCATCCCCTTATCATTACCCTTACAGACATACCTACCGCCCGACCTACCTACGGCACCTGTGCTGAATACAACTCTAGTTCGGTACTACTCTGTGGCACTGATCACCACCGACGTCAGACAGAACAATTGGGCTCTCTGCCCCTAATCCCCGTCCTCCCTCCTCCCTCCACCCCTCCTCCACAATGACAACTCTCAACATCCCTCCGCCCTCGAGAGCACAGGTCGACAAAGGCTACGGCGCAAACAGCTCCCCATCCAATCTAGGGGCTCACACAGTCGCGACCGACTTTGGTTCTGCACCTGGCGTCCCCTCTGCTTCGACATTGTTGTCGCCGTCTGCTGCCCAGCCACATTACTGCGGCAAGTTTAATGAGGAGTGGGATGCAAGCCAGCGAGGCAGCTCTCTCCTGGAAGGCGGCAACAGCAACAATAAAAACACCATGCAGCGCTCCGATTCGGTCATGTCGCAAGGCGATACGTTAATCCCTTCGCGCGGGGGAACCCTGAAGAAGAAGGCTTCCATCCGCAAAAGTGGCTCTGTGAAGAGGAGTCCTAGTCGCAGAAGCCCCCAAGCTGGTAGCGTGCGCAGCTTAGCACATCAGGCTTCGGGTGAAGTCGACGAGACAAATAGTGCTTTTTACTCTCCGGTTCCCACTACTGGCAACCCTACGGAGATCCTGGCAAACAGATTCCAAGGTTGGCCATGCTCTAGACTATCTGTCTTGCAAAAGAACTGACTTCTTTCTCTTCCGCAGCTTGGCGCAAAGTCCTCAAGGATCTGATCACCTATTTCCGAGAGGTACAAACAAGCTATGACCACAGAACAAAGGCTCTCCTGAAGCTCTCTAATATAATCAATAATACTTCGGTACAACCAATGTTCATGCCGTCTGGCGGGATCGACGATGCCATGCAGGTTCTCCGAGACTACAACAAGACAGCCATAGCTGAGGCCAACAAATCCAAGGAAATCGAGAATGATGTTATCCTGGCTCTCACGGGCCTGAGAAGTGACTTGAACCAAAAAATCAAGGAGATCAAGGGTCTCTCGAGTGACTTCAAGAACTCAGTGGACAAGGAAATGGTGATTACTCGCAAAGTCGTCAACGAGCTTGCGGAAGGTCTGGGCCAGTCTGATATTGATCCTGCGCAAATGACAGGCAAGAAGGATCCATATTTGTTGAGGCTTGCGGCCGACCGTCAAGTTGAGAAGCAGATTGATGAGGAGAATTACTTGCACCAGGTAATCACAAACTCCTATCTCTACGCCATCATTGGGAAGCCGCTAATATGGGTAGGCTTATCTGAACCTGGAAGCATCCGGCAGAGAGCTGGAAGCCATTGTTGTGGGCGAAATTCAGAAGTCGTACAACGCCTTGGCTGGCATCCTCAAGCGAGAGGGAGATGCGGCCCACAGAACAGCAGATGAGCTGCGAAATGGTCCTATCGCCATGCCCAAGGATCACGAGTGGAATACCTTCGTCCAGAACAGTGACCATTTTGTTGACCCGAGCATCCCTATTCGACAAGCCCAGGATATCCAGTATCCCGGCCGAGATCATGAACTAGCTCAGGAAGTTCGTGCCGGATTGTTGGAACGAAAGTCCAAGTATTTGAAGAGCTACACGGCGGGCTGGTAAGTTGATTTCTTTAAACCCGTCAGCAAAGTAGCCGCCTACTAACAATCTGCTTAGGTATGTCCTTACGCCGACTCATCTCCACGAGTACAAGTCTGCAGACAAGGCACAAGGCCCAATCATGTCTTTGTACCTTCCCGAGCAGAAGCTTGGCTCCCACTCGAACGAGAGCTCTTCTTCAAACAAATTCATGCTCAAGGGCCGTCAGACTGGTACAATGCATCGTGGCCACTCCTGGGTCTTCAGAGCAGAGAGCTATGATACGATGAATGCATGGGTAAGTCTTGTTCTTTAGGTCCTCCTTAATTTTGCGTTTTCAAGATCTCACAGACAGGGTCCTCTCTTGGAACTCTTGTTTAAAGTCATGTGTATCTATATCCCTCAGAGCGACGGCTGCTGTGTTGATGATCCAACGATGCTATGCCGTTGCTGTTATCAAGTTACTCCGCTGCCATAAAATTGCGATCTCGCCCTCGCCCGTTGCGATACTGATTTATTCTAGTACGAAGATATTCGAATTCTTACCGAGAAATCTCCCCAAGAACGTAGCGCTTTCGTTCGTCAGCACGCCCGAAGTGTCAGCGGAACATCGCAGCGAGCTGGGTCCATCAGCAGTGACGGAATCATGGACGATGAGGATGAAGAGCCATTTTCTGCTCAGGCTTCGGCGATTGTTAGCGCACCAAAGCAGGATGAGCTGCCGAGACGTCCCGCGCCAGGTGGGCGTTTCCCATCCGACATTTCGTTATCCAGAGGCTTACAGGCTCCTCTTTCCCCCTCTAGCGGAAGTTCCGGTTTCGAAGATCAACATGTAGTTGCTGCTGCAAGAACCCTTCCAGGGAGCAACGTTCAACAGTACGGTCAGGAGGGCGCGGCTTCGCCTACGCATGCGGCATACGTCGACCAACAGGCCCAGGAGGACGGCATTAACCCTTACACGTCTCAGCGTATGGGCCTGGACCATGGTGGTCGTGATATGGGAGGAGTTACTGCTGCTGGACTTGGTGGCGCTGGAATGGGATCATACCAACACCATCAAAACGAGCAAGTCGCTAAGCTGCGCTCGGACGAGGAAGAGCAGGCCGCACGCGAAGCCGCTGTCATTGCTGCACCCGATGCTCAAGAGCAGGAACAGCGAGCTGTACGCGAAGCTGCCGTAATTGCCGCCCCCGATAGTTATGAGCAGGAATCCGCAGCACTAGCCGCCCGCGAAGCTACTCTTTACGCTGCTCCGGACACCCACCTGGGATCAGCTCCAGCCGTCAATGGAAGCGCGACTTTTGCTGACCATGCGTACCCGGAAGCTACCACAACCAAGAGTGGTCAGACCAGTCCGATCGAAGCTGCCGTTAGACCTTTGTCTGATGACCCGCTTCCGAGGCCATCACTTGCCGTGGAGCAAAATCGTGAGAGTGTCATGAGTGTGAGCCAGCTGCATGTTCCCGGGAAATATCCCAAGGAAAATGAGACACCTTTGAGCTTGGTTTGAGCAGTAACTTGTGGTGCATCGGGAAATTTACGTGTATAGCTTTTGTAAGGATGAGAACTGGGTCTTCCCTGGGAGTGGGGGCCGAGGTTGGACGGGTTGGAGGACAGCGTGGGGAGTTTTCGGTACTTGCTCTCTTGCTTGCTCTTGAAGTAGGATAGCTATAGTTACTCACTATACCTGGCACAACAATGGAGCTTTGTTTTTGTGAAACGGAGCTTCTCATGTGGCCTCCTGCTTCCTGTTTCCTGTTTTCCTGGCGACATCGACGCATCCCCTTCATAGTAGCCCATCGATTGGACCTGAAGCCGGCGCTGACGAATCAGTCTAGTGGAATAAATCGCAGATGTCCAGTCTCGTTCCGTGAAACCAAATGCCAAAAGGCAAACAAACCTCTCTGGACCGGGGATATAAGTACGATCATCATCAAACCATATCTGAGCAGTCAACGGCATATGGAAATACATGGGTGGAAATACGCATGTGGAATTCATCGCCTCAACTGACATTCAGGCGCGCTACCTCAACCCCTTACGATGCAAAAAAGCACTTGCGACCTATCCTGGCTGGCATTCTGATCCAAATGTAGACGAGCCCTCACAAACGCCGTCGCTTCCGTGAAATGTAAATGCAGCACCAGCAAAGCAGACCTGGCACGGGAACCGTCAAACAACCGATTTTAAAAACCCAAAGCCTAGATCCACCCACAAGAGCCCAAGCCAGGGTGGGTGAGATCTGACCCGGGACCTGATTAGAACTAAAAACTCATTCCTGCGGTTTGTGGTCCAGCTTTAGTGACGAGTCTGACCCCCTTAACCTCGTTCTCCGTCTCGGTGGCGCCTTTGGCGGCATTTTCTTGCTCACATGTACTTGCAGCGCATCGGGAATTGGGGGCGGTGCATGGCGCCTACTGTGGACCGGGGGCGGGGGATGTCGTCTGGTGGGCGTTGTCTTTTCGCTTGGCTTCACCGATTCTATTCTTTCGTCCTGACCATCTTGCCCGTTTTTCAGGTCTTCGCTGTGTGGCCCGTCTTCGAGATCCAGTTTCCGGCTCGGTGTTTGCACGCCAGGCTTCTCCATCACAGCTGCCACGTCTACTACGCTGATTGTACTCCCTGACAAGGTCGAAGAGAGGGAGATTCCGAGGAGTTTGCGTGCGACTTCGGATTGGCTTACAGTGTCGTCTTGCCGTAGCCACGAGACTTTAGCTACCCGGTCAACGAGGCGGACTGTTGTCTCGTCTGCGGGTTCCCAGTGCGCGTTCGAAGAGTGGCCTAATATCTCCAGTACTTTCAGAATTTCGTCATGCTTGTAGTGTGGTGGTTGGTTGAGCTGCGTATGAGCCAGTAGAGGGTGCATAACCCGCAGGTAGGTATGCCGTAGAGAGACCAACTCGTTAGGGAGGTCGAGCAGGTTACGGATTATAACGTCGAGTAGGACGCGCAGGTCATTGGTATAGAAATACTCGTAGGTTGCTTTGGTGGTGAAGAGGAGGTAGAGGAGCTTGAGGATGAGGAGCTGCAGGGAGGTCTCGGTTTCACGGTTGAGGAGCAGTATGATGTTTTCGCCGAAGGTCATGTATGAGAGCCCGTGCTTAGATAGGATCTTGATTACGCGGTTTGTCGGAGGCGGAGAGGAGCCGGTGGAGGGGGTTTGGGTTGAGGCTACCATCCATTGCTCATTGAGCACCAGCTGAAAATAGGACATAAGCACTCACACAACCATCCCGCAAGTGGGATTTGCTTACCAGTACTCGAATGACCGGATAGTGGTACGGATCATCCACATCATCTGACAATTCCTCGATAATCTGTAACAGCATCGTGACAAAGTCGTCGTCGACCAGCGCCAGTTCTTGTGGGTTGAGAGGCTGGCATCTGGACATCTCATACAGCAGCTCAAGCAGCAATCGATGTAGCCTCGAATCATCCCTCTTTCCCAGCTTGATCAACTCGAGCAGCCGCGCAAAGCACCCCTCGGTATTCATCATCTCAAACGTGTCTTGGCCCTGCCTCCCATCAAAGAGCAAGATACTCGTAATAACATGCAGCGTCTCCGGCCGGTCCTCTTGCAGCAGGCTGTACACGATCTGAATGCGCACGTACTCCTTGTTGGCCTGGAAGAGCTGGCTCTGCAAGAGCTTCTGTAGACAGCGCGTGAAGCCATAGTCGGAATTGAGATACTCGTCCTTGAATTTGGCAGTAAAGTGGAGGAAGGATCGCAGTGCGTTGTCAATCAACTGATGGGATTCGCATTTCGCGGATACAATGTCTTCGATCTCTGAGCGGCGGGGGAGGTTCTGTTAGCCAGGTCCAGAAGAAAGAGGGGTGGGGGTCAGGATCGCAGGCGCAACGGTTACAGTACCATCCCAGAACTGCTGTTCGTTCTCCAGAGAATACTCGAACTCCTCCATGTTCCCGGACCAGACCTGTGTTTTCTTGTCTTGCGCTGCTACCGGAGAAGCATAACGAGGTTCAGCGCTTTTGGTTTTGGTTCTGGTTTTGGTTTGGGTTTGGGTTTTGGGGGGGGGGGGGGGGAGATAGATGCGCAGCGTTGTTCAAGACGAGCCGTGCCAGTCCCTCGTTGTCCGTTTCACACTCACTCACTTGCTACTAGTACCAACTTACTTGCAGTACCTACAAGGCTCGATCAGCTGACTGAGCGAGGCTGACATCCGTATCTTCATGTATCACTAGGCGTGACTAATTTTGATAATCTAACTTTTTTCTACTATTTCGTATTATAAGCACTGGAATGAGTGCAGGATCCAACTGGAAGAGTGTACCGGTAGACTGACTACCTTCGGGCAAGGTTCGGACAGCTAGAGACCGGAGTGGATGGCGACAATTCTCAACTTGAAGACGCCCTCGGCGGTGGCAATAGTATGTATACTCACCTCATTGTTATAAATCATGTGTTACAGTCAATCGCAGAGCCAATTCTATGATTTGACAACTTTGCCGGTCTCGATAAGTTGGTAAGTGGGCTCTTTCACCAACTGCATGCCCATCACAGCTGCCAACATGGCCATCAGCGTACTGATAGGACCTCCTTGCCGCGTTGTGATAGAAGGCCAGTATACTTTGGAATCCCTCTCCAACAACGATTTTGTGCTTCTTCCAAATACAGGTAGGTAGTGGCGATCGTCCCTGAGGATTGACAACCCGGTACTGTCAGCTATAGCAGTTTTCATCTTCGTAATCCGTGGGCATCGGGGCCGAGGACCCTCATGAAAGTGATGCTTATCAGCACGCAGCACGACGCTGGGCCCCAACAAGTACCGGTAGACGCGTCTGAATGGGTTCGGTGCGCAAAAGTAACCAGTCTCCATCGCGTCTATTGCTACTACCGGTACCGGTACTTGTTGGCGAAAATAACATTTTAACCTTCTTGACTGGTCGGAGAGGGAAAAGTATGTTGATAATAATGAGACTGAAATACCGTAGAAGGAAGCCCGAGCAGAGTCGTCGACGAAGGGGAGATGTACTACCAAAGTACGTACCAGTAGTACATGGGATGGGTTAATCAGGAGATAAGGAGGTAGGTACCTGCCGTTTCTGGATCTTGATTGCCGGGCTAGAACGATTGTTTGAGCAACTAAGCGAGCTCTACGCGATCAGCCGACCCAATATAGTAGTAGGTAGTTAACATGGCAAGCAACGTACTAGTACAAGTAGAACAGCCCAATGCCTTCTCCGTACGTTGAAGGTTTCTGGGTGGGTCCAAAAGAGCGGCTGGAAGCCACTGTGGGCCACATTCCATCAGAATTTCGGGATTGCCGAAGCGAAGTGTTCGGAGATGAGCTTCTTTATCTGCTCTGCAATGCAGATGCACCGTTTGCAGATGGCCCCTGTTTTTTGGGGGGGGGGGGGGGGGGGAAGGGGGGTTTGAAAGTATATACATA